CGTTGGGCTATGTCGGTCACTCTGGTTCTACTACGGATATCCTCATTTCTAAGCTTATCACGCAGAGAAACTCCGAGCATAGCCCTCTCCATAGCTCGCTGAGCGACCTTGAGCTTCCTCATCCGGCCAGCAGTGAAGGACCACGTCTCAGTACCATATGTCATCATCACTGGCAACACGCACTGGTTGTACAGTCTTGTTTTCAAGTTTTGAGGTATACCTGACGAGAAGATGTGCCGTAATTTTCCGAACGCTGCCCAACCGAGTTGAATCCGTCGATAGACCTCTCGGTCGAAGTTGGACTTACCTAGTCGGACTATTTGTCCCAGGTAAACATACTCGTCAACAACTTTGAGCTTAGTGCTCCCAACAACTACTGGCATAGGTGTGACATGGACATTAAACATGATCTTTGTTTTGTCCATGTTCATCTTAAGACCTATCCGTTGGGAAACACTATTTAGGTCATTGAGCATAGTGCTTAGGTCCTCCAGCGATTCTGCCATAAGGACTATATCGTCGGCAAATCGAAGGTGAGTGATGTACTCGCCATTGATGTTAATACCGTATGCTTTCCAGTCCAGAAGCTTGAAAACGTCTTCCAATGCAGCGGTGAAGAGTTTCGGGGATATCACGTCACCCTGTCTTACACCTCTCTGCGATTGGATAGGTTTCGTACTCTGGTTCTGTACTCGGATAGCCATCGTAGCCCTACTGTACAAGCACTTCAGCACTTCGATCAGTCAACTTGGCATCGCTGAAGGGACTGCAGCACCGCCCAAATTTCGAGGGAATCAAAGGCTTTCTCATAGTCCACATACGCCAGACATAATAGCAAATTGTACGCCTGGGACTTCTGTACAATTTGCCGAAGGGTATGTATGTGGTCTATGGTGCTAAAGCCTTTTCGGAAACCGGCTGGTTCGTGAGGCTGGAAGTCGTCAAGTCTGCGCGCGAGACAATTCGTAATGACTCTCGAAAACAGCACGTAGACGCGACTCAGACGGGAAATTGGTCTGTTGTTCTTCAAGAGAGAGTTCGCCACCACACTTCTGTTCCACGCCTCCGGTGTAGTGTCACCATGGAGGGCGGAATTAAAGAGCTTCTGAAGGACTTCAAGTACCGGTTTCCCACCCGTTTCAGAAGCTCCGCTGTAATTCCATCCTCGCCTGGGGCCTTGCCGTTTTTAAGGTGCTGGAGAGCCATTCTAATCTCGCTCAGACTGACGTCTGGGATATCACCGGAATAGTGTCGGGTAAGACTCGCTCTTGGATCATTACTCACACTTACGTGTGACTCCAACGATGATGTGTACAGTTGCCCATAGAACCTCTCAATCTCACTCAAAATCTCAGGTGTCCCGGAAACGACGCTGCCACACTCGGTCTTCAACTTCGACAGTTGGCTCTTTCCGGCAGACTTTGGAGCCCTGGTTCCGCTCGATCGCTTCTTCAATACGAGCAATATTAAAGTTGCGTAAGTCCCGCCGCATGCATTTGGAGATCTGTCTTTTCAGTTGCCTGTATGCTGTCAAATCTAGTGAAGACTGCAGCTTCATATCCCGTCTAACAGCCATGAGATTAAGAGTGTGATCGGAGAGTTTTTGTGTTCTTCTGCGGCAGTCTTGCGAAACTTAGCTCCGACTACATGAGCAGTTTCCACGAGCTTGTCATTGATATCGTCCACTGCATTGCAATCTTCTAGGCACTGAAAACGGTTTGGTAGCTCGAGCTGAAAGGTTTCGGGACTTTGGATTAGAGCACGAGGGGGACGGAGCGTTGACTTCATTAGACGTGACCTCTCCAACTTAACGTTTAGGTTCAGTGTGCCTCTCACCATTCGGTGATCGCTGCCGGTTTTCACCCTCGCGATCACTGAGACATCACTGAATAGTTGTCGTCTGGTCGTCATAATGAAGTCAATCACATTTTATGTCGAACCGTCGGGGCTCGACCTGGTCCACTTTCTGTGGGGCCGCTTCTGGAAGAAAGAGTTCATCATAAAGAGTCCCTCTTTCTCCATGAAGTCGGCCAGCTGCTGGCCCCTTGGGTACCGTTGCCCTATTCCGAAATTCCCTACTTTCAGCTCACCGTTCTCTCTTGTGCCTAGTTTTGCGTTGAAGTCTCCCATTAACACCGTATATTGGGTTTTGGAGGAATGCATGGCTCGAGAGATATCCTCATACATTTCCTCCACCTCATCGGAGTGTGCCGAGGTTGGTGCGTAAACCTGTATGACCTTCAGCAAATACCGTTTGGTGATTCTGAGTATAAGGTACGCAACCCTCGTCGACACACTCCCAATCTTTACAACATTGTTAACGAGAGACTTTTGGACGATAAATCCGACACCTCCTTGGGACAGATGGTCGCCCTCCCGGTGATAGAACAAGTTGCCGGATTCGAGGATTACCGTGTCCTCCCCCTCTCTTCGGACTTCGGATAATCTTATGGAAATTCCAGCGCCACTTGTCTATCTTTTCTTCCAGCTCCAGAATCTTCTCGTCAGTCCTCAGAGTGCGTGCATTATAAGTTGCCAGGTCGAGTCATCATAGGTGGCAACCGAACCTCCACCGGAGATTCTTAGCACCCCCTGACCCGCCGTTACCATGGTCGCCACCATAGCCAGGAATAGCGAGGCCGCCGGGGACTGGGGGCCGTCTTTTCGTTACTTTCATGGGGGGTATATCGCCATAGTTGCCACGCTTGGCGAGCGGGTTGGCAACCGCAGTTTTTCTATTGTTGTTTTGCTGTTATCAGAAAGATGCTGCTGGCCATCCTCTGCCTCAGTTTCTCTCTGTCGCCTTTACGACACCCACGGGAAGATATGGCGTAATGAGTATTCTTACCCGCCATTACACGGGGAAAATTTTTATTACTTGCATATTTAAAACCAGCTGTTCCCCACGACTTTGCCCGCGTGTAATTTAGGTATTTATTTAAGTTACGCGGAAGCCTAATTATTTAAAAAAAATATAAATAGCCTAAGTTACTCTTTATAACATCAGCTATCTGCCATTGAAAGTCCCGTCGAAATCGGTCCAGCCGTTTCGGAGATTAGTCGGAACAAACAGACAGACAAAAATTTTAAAAACTATGTTTTTGTTATAAGTACCGTATGTACTTTCGTACTATTTGCATTTAGTAAAAAGCTGTTATTTTGACATTACAAACAGATACTTCAATTTTTTATTAGAACCGACCTTGCTTGACTTTCTGCTGGCCCAGGTCTACCCTATTTAAACGTAATCGAAGGTAATACCTAGCTTTTGCATATAAAAATAAGTTATATACTCAGAAAAATTCTGGTCTATTTTAAAGGAAAACTAAGATGATTTTCAAGTAAAATCAACCTTAGTTAGAGTAGTGTCCCACAAAAATCCTCCTCGGTTGTGCGTCGACGAACGCCAGCAAATTAGGTTTAGCCGGCATTCTCGCAACATAACAATATTTATTAAAAGCTTTCGGGGGCTGAGCCGCATCTCTCTCGACTCAGACGTCTGTAATACTGTAAATCTGATGTATACGAATGTCACATATGAAATATATGTTTCTATCATGTTATAAAGCACTATTGATTTGCAAGAAAGTGAAGTTTCTCAAAATGTTACAAAGATTTCTGTTTGATTCTGCCATATCTCGCCTTACTTACTTTTACTAATTTCTATATTGAATGTTAAAAATCGCTATAATTTTATTTTAGTGAATTAAAAACTTCCGTGTGTGGTACTTCCGTACTTTTTTGTGAGAAATTCCATTGTTTATATTTTATATGGGTAAAAATAACTACTTAGTCATGCATCGTATATACATATTTCATTGAGTATTCTGAATTTTCAGGGGAAAATTTAAATGATAATAAATTCAAATTATATGTTTAGTAGATTAAAGATAGGAATGGAATTAGGATAGGAATTTATTTTTATGTTTAGTAAATTTACTTTAAATACCAGCAAAACTAAATACTTAAAGTTATAGCCTACATTATACATCCCACTGCTGGGCACAGGCCTTCCCTCATTTCTGAAGAGAAGGAATTAGGGCAAGGAAGTGTCCGCTGCGCTGCCCCAATGCGTGTTAATGAACTTCACATGTCTTCGAAAAAAAATTTTTTTTTACTTCTCTGACATGCAGGTTTCTTCAAACGTTTTCCTTCACCGCCGAGCACGTGATCAAATCAGAACTTCAAATTGCAATTAACAATTTCATTGGTACCGGCGGGGATCGAATCATCGAACCCAGGTTGCTCCCGTACTGTGAAATATACAGCGAGCGCCATCTACCTGAGCTACCACGGCTCATACTAAATACTTATATGAAACAATATCAAATTCATTGCTAATTAATGTTATAACTACGAATACAATGTGCCAGCCATGAACTGACCATAAATACAAGTTAAATAAATTTGAACTTCTTTCTTCATTATTTATATCGTTCTTTTGACATTATTTGTTTTAAATTATTCATTTCCATCTTAACAGTTGCTGTGCTCAGAGATTAGCAAGCTGAGTGTAGTGAGAACTGAGGTACACGTGCTTGAATTCAAGCACAAATAACATTTAGAGTTTTTTCTGGGTCTGGTTGTGTAGGGTTTGTCATCGGGTTGCTGGTATTGCTTCTTAGCTTGCCTGTTGTTAAGGTAGGTGACTAAAAATATGTGTAGTACCTGCTCAGACGGACTTGTAGTAAAAAAAAAAGTCCCACCACCTAAAATATTATTAGAACCAAGTGTCTCTCTCTGCTGATACCAAAGTTGCCGATCAGGTCGAAAAACGTACCATTTGTTAGAATAATATTTTTTTTAATTAAAGCGACAGTAGCTTAATGGCAGGGTGCGGACCGCGAACTCAAAAGGTCGTGGGTTCGAATCACCCATTCGTCTATTGTATTGTACTACAGTGAATTTTAGTAATGTGAATAGAATTACGAGTATTTTTTTAATAAAGATTTAAATATATCTTGAAACTCGTCACATAATTTATATCCTACTTTAAAATTATGAAACAAATACATATACGTAAATACTCTAAATCTACAGACGAGTTATTCAAAGAATTCTTCTGTGTTAGCGATGTCTATGCTAACAGACATCTTTCGCTTTTTCCGACATATACAATGTACGCATCTGTATCGCGTAAGAGACTGGGAGGTTGTAGCTTCATGGGATAAAAATATAAGTTACTCTCGAAAGTTACGTTAACCGCCTGACGCGGCGAGTGACTGCTAAACACTTTAGGTACGTAGGTGTTTTATAATGATGCCAACACACTGATAATATTTAAGAACAAAACTGAAGAATTTTATATTTTTGCGAATATCCGTTATGCTTGAAATATCATAGAAACAAAAGAAAATATTCTTATTAAATTAATAGTCATTAAAAGGCTAGTTCTTTTCTTGTCCAAAGTAGGACTGTAAGATAATTATAGATGACATAACTACATTCAAAGTTATTAATATATATATATATATATATATCAATAGGTCAGGTCTCCTTACTACTTCGGTGTCCGCCTAGACATCACTAACGTCTGTCTTATTTATTACATACTACGACCGCATTTCATACACAAATCACTGAACACGTAGTACTTATAAAATCGTTGTTACTTAAAACTTTAATAACTTTAATCCTAATTGTAATCTATCCAGTAGTATTTCCGTGATGCGCGCATAAACTGCAAACCGCTATCATTTTATTTATATAGATAGATATCCCTTTGCTAACTAACCATCAGATGCACTGTTCGCTTGGTTATATATACTATATAAATATAAACTATAAACTATAAACTATAATGTAAACTGTAAAAAATGTAATAATATAAACTAATTTGAAGAGGAATTAAATGTAAATTGTTTTTTTTTAACAAATATTGTTGCGCTTAAATAACTTACTTACTTTTATGTTCTCGGGAACGACGCGACGTTGCGATTGTTAAAATTCTTAAACCTGAAGGCAGCCGTGGTTAACTACGACATTAGCACGTTGTATGTACACTAATCCCGTGACCATGGCTGCTGCAAAGTATTCGAAACATCGTAAAAATTCAAGTAAGCTAATAGTAATATACTACTAATAGTAAATTATAAGCACAACAAAAAATAACTGTTCGCACAAACATTAAAAGTTAAATTCGTATTTAGCGGTCGTATGCGCGTATTCCCAAAGTTAACGTTTACCTATTTAGAATACCATGATAAGTATATCACGTAGACTCGGCGACGCCTGAATTTTAAATATTGCGAAGCTGTTTCAGAAAATGTTTATGCCCAGGAAAAAATGTTAAGAAAATCTCCGTGAAGCGGCAGTTTTTTCCCTCCTTTATTGTCGGATTAGAGGAACATGTTTGTACGTCTGTTACGTGATCATGAAACGTGTCAGGCTATCCGACTGTATTTTTCGATGTTTTAAATTTCCATTATTGATATGCCCATTCCCATTCGCTGTTATATGATAATGTATTTTTTTATTAAAAGTAAAAACAAAACAACGGGAGAATCCCATGTAGTGAACTTTGGCTGTTAAAGAAGAAATTCTGCATTGTTTTAGTTATACTTTGTAAATAATTAGTTAGGATTTTAACAAATATGTGGCAATATTTCATCGACTGACATCCATAACATGAAATCACAGACAAAAATGTTCGATAAAGGAATAATTATGAAAATATACAAAATTACGCTCATGGGACGACGTTTGATAGTGGATTCTCTACAGGCAGAAGCGTCAAAGTGTGAGAAGACTTTTTTTATGGAATACGGGTGACAAACGAGCACACAGTCCACCTGATGCTAAGTGGATGCTGTGGCTCATAAACATCTACATATATCCTCGTTTAGAATCAAAATACAGATGCTTAACAGCCGCTGAGGACTGAGCAGGCCTCGTCTCCAGTAAAGAAGGTCTCCGGTACTGTGCACTCACCCTAGGAAACACAACAGCATTGAGCTGCTATTTTACGCTGGTATTCTGTAAGTACGTTGTCCTTTAGAGGTCGAGCCGACCGATTCGTGCTACAATCATAAACTGCAGCTTCGCTCTACCACGTATCAAATAACTAATAAAGTGCCAAGCGACCACTAAATCGAATTCTCCCGACAATGACGAACGCCCATGACCAGCTGTAGACTTTTACTGGCTGATAAAGAAGTAGAAGGATTTTATTTAATCTTTTCTTAGAATTGACGCTCCGTGAAGTTTGCAGTCTGTGAACAGGTACAGGATCGCCCACGTCATTACATCAGATTTGATAGACCACAAATCCTCGCTAAAAACACTGATACCTACCAAGGATGATTTACGAGGCTATTGAAATCAATAAACATATTAATTTCAATTGAGAAGATGGCTGGATGCTACCAGATGCTTGGTGATCCTGTTATTAATAAAATGAAATCCCAATCCAATTATACAACTGCAAGACTTTTTGATACTATATGTTAATTCTGCGAAGATCGGGCTAGAAATTAATAAATTTAATCTGAACTTAGCCTTGGTTAACACATGGACATCGAACACCTCAGGCCCCATGACCACGAGTGCTGTTAAGTGCTCGAAACGTCGGGAATATAAAATAAGTTAATACGCGAAAACATCCATAAAAACCAGTTTTATTTAGAATTTTATTTATTTGTTTGTTACAGAAACATGCGGCGCTGACGATTTCCGATGTAACAATGGCCGATGTATTGAAGGCTCACGCCGATGCGACCGTGTTGTGGACTGTCCTTCTCAGGAAGATGAACAAAACTGCGGTAAGTTTTTTGTGTACAATAAAATAAACATAAATATTTATGTATGTAGACCATATAAATACTTGTTCCCTGCGGGATTCGAACCCGCAGCCCTCAGTGTAGCAACTCATTGCTAGTTGCTTAGCGCCGTGGGGCGCCACGGAGACGTCTTAAACAATATCTATGTACAAAAATTAATTGCTGTTCGTTAGTCTCGCTAAAACTAAAACGCTCGACCGATTCTGATTAAATTTTTTGTGTGTTTGAATGAGTCCCTAGATGATTTGGATTCACATGTTGACCCGGTAAGTGGTGCTGTTCTCGAGATCCAGAAATCACCCATGCGAAACCGGTTTTCTGTAAAATTTAATAAAAGAAACTTCCTAAAAGTTGACTAAAAATGCCTTCGATTTTTCTACAGAATGCAGATCGAACGAGTTCCGTTGTGTGTCCGATGGATTCTGCATAGAAAGCAGAAAACGTTGCGACGGTGTCAACCACTGCATCGACAACTCTGATGAAATAGACTGCGGTGAGTAAACGCAATTCGTTAATGTTGCTATGTAAGCACAGATTCTTTGTAGCATCGTCAAGTTACCTTTCCACGGTTTAATGGTGTGATTTTGCGCATGCATTCCATTTTGGAACGGTAAGTCCCTCGAGTATTCAATTGGACAGGTGAGCATGTCTGTCAAAGCAGTGGGAGGTTTCGTTGCAAGGATGGCACCTGTATCTCTATACTACTTAGATGTGATGGTTTTAGGGACTGCAAGAAAGATGGCAGCGATGAAGATGATTGTCGTATGTATCAAATTCGATAGAAATGATAACGTAAATTCGGTGATTTGATAATGTGGGATAAAGACAAGAATCATTTTCATTTTAATGTTTAAAAATTACCTATAAATGAAATAAACAGATTCATGATTGAAATATATACCCACTTATAAATAATAAGGCACTTATGTTCACTATTTTTATTATATTGTTCTGTGTGACTTGTTTTGACTTATTTTTAAATTGTATGAATGTAGTCATGTAAGTGATATGTTTCCGTTGGTCTTAATGAGTAACTAAAGATCTTTAAACTGAACCGAAATATTAAGGTGAAGTTTAGTTCAACATCTTACTTTTATCATCTTTTTTTTTAAATCAATAATCTAATACTAATAGTAAAGAGTGTCAATATCACCGATTTTACTTATCAGGTTTTGTTTAAATTACATACATATGGTACATTTTTATATATATTATTACCTGTAATAAGCATGCGGCCCGGAATATTGGCAATGCGACTTTGGAAGTTGCATTAAGCGTAGTAAGCGCTGTAACGGCCGTGTGGATTGTCCCACTGACAGATCCGATGAAAGGAATTGTTTTGGTAAGGATTCCAAATACACAGAAATATACCTTTATATTAAAGTATTTTCATTTCATTATTTATCTGACAAAATCAATTCAATTCATTTAAATTCAAAACACATTCAATTAAATTTGTAAAAGTTTAGTTATCACAAATTTATTCAATATTTTAGTATCCATATTATAGACTCAAAATTTAGCGTACAAAAATACGTTTTTTTTGTCATATCAATATAGAAACACGCTTACTTATCGCTTGTACTAAATACAAATAAAAACCATAATATAGCTTTGCATGTGTTTCCAGCAAGTGGATTCTTTAGATGCAGAAACGGCAAGATCTTATCTCATAGTCAAAGATGCAATCGCCAGTATGATTGCGACCCTGGAGACTATTCCGATGAACAAAATTGTCGTAAGTTTGTCAAGTAACAGAGCCTCTTGTTTCGTTTCTCTTAACTCTTTTATCCTTTCCTCTTTTTATCGTATTGCGCTTCATTCATACCGACGTGGATTCAGTTTCTTCTCACTTTTGTTTCATAGTCTTTTCTGTTACCTTCCTTTGTATCTTTGTCTTCTTTCATCTCTTATTGATGTTGCATTAGACGATATTTTCGATATCTATTTTGTTTCTTTTGCACTATTCTTCTGCACATTCCTTTAAATTTAAAAATTTCTTGTAGCTAATTAATGAATGTATTAGATTCTCTTCTGAATATAGCATTTTCTTTTGCCGGTCAGCATGTGGTGTCAACGACTTCAAATGTGACAATGGATACTGCATTCCCGCATCCAAACACTGTGACAGAACGCATGACTGTCAAGATGGTTCCGATGAACGCGGTTGCACTTATGGTTTGATTATTTGATTGCTCCAACTTTTCTAAAAGTGTTACGATCTAGAATTCCCAAAGAAATAAATTAATTTTTGGCATTGGTTACTAATCACGATTGGTTGTTAACTATGAGTTACTTAAATTTTGCTCTATTTATAATTTGTTTACTGTACAACATTACATGTAATGTTTTGAAAACTAAAATTATAAAAACATAGTAATTTCTAAACACATAAATTCCTTCTAAACACATAAATTCTGGAAGATATGTTGTTTTGATTATTTGGTAACATCTATATAGGATCGCTTCGGATCATTTTAGTTTTTTTTTTATTAATTGGCCAGCTGAGCAATTTTATAACGGAAATGCGTGCACTTTTTATTTCCATTTTTACGAATATTTTCCTTGTAAATATTTTTGGTTATGGTTTGTGCATTGTATATTATTATGGCAGGCACAATATGCATGGCTTATGAATATAAATGCTCGAGTGGACAGTGCGTGGAAGCTGATTCCTGGTGCAATGGAACAAAGGAGTGCGATGATGGTTCGGATGAAAGAAACTGCCCTTGTAAAAGGGACGAAATCGAATGTGGGGATGGTACTTGTATTAATATCGCTTTGAGATGTAACGGTCGAAAAGATTGCCATCCACATGGGGAAGATGAGTTCAACTGCGGTAAGTGAAGTGCATTCGAGTACTGAGTCAATTGTATTTAGGTGGAATAATACTCGGAACTTTTGTGTCTCACCCATCTTATCTCAACTTGATTGTAACGCCGTTAATTAACTAATGGGTTCAAGTAAGTAGACAAATAAAAAAATGTAAAATCTTTTAAGCATGCCTAATTTGATAAGTTGCATGACTAGCCGCATGTTAGGATTTACAACCATAGAATTATAACGCAAAATCTATTTAGTTATCTACATTGTGTTTACTTACTCTTAACCAAGGATGTCTATTATATATATATATATAAAATATTTTTAATGTTATGTTAATAAAGTGTAACTGAAATAATGTAATAGTCATTTTCTTATAATAAATAAATTGTAGTGGGAGTTCTTCGAATAAAGAAGTAGTAATCAAAAAACAGAAACCGTTTCATGATTGGGCTTTAATATGTGGGTTTTAACTTTTATGTTTGTGACCAATAATTTTTATCGTCATGTTCATAAATTTATTTATATTTTAATGATTAATAATTATACTTCAGGTTCTCCACGGTGCCCACCCGACAGCTTCGCTTGCGACCCTGACTCAAGCATTCCATGCGCAAGACGTTGTGATGGTAGACAGGAATGTGACCGGGGTGAAGATGAGAAGGATTGCGATGGTAATTAAAATTACTTCGTTACACATAGCATTTTTATCGTAGCAAAAGATTGGGCTAGTTTGGTAAATTTTTCTTAAAAGAATAGCCTTCGTTTTCTATCTGGTTAACTTTTTTCTAAAGTTGACTACAATTAGTTCTTTTTGCCATTGCTAAATTTATCAATTCAAATTTTTCTACTTGCCATTTGCGATAAAATACCTTTATAGCTTGCGAATTACAAAATACTTATTTGTTATATGTACTTGACGTGAGATAATTGCGAATTTCATATGATGTTAAAATAGCAACGCGTTTGTCACGAATTGAATGTTCTTCGCAATGCAAACCCTTGCAAGATTTGCTACGCTCTAGATCTAAACTGAACTCATATGCTTAGAACGCTCTGTGGATCTAGTTAGATAAAATAAAATTACCATGCCATCACTCGTGCGCTGCGTACTTTATAATTTATCTAAAAGATCTTCAATTTAGTCGTATTTCTTTTAAGAATGCAGCCACGAGTGCGACGGCAGATGCCTAGAAGACCAACGTGTTTGTGACGGCATCGCCGATTGCAGCGATGCATCAGACGAACTCTCGTGCGGATCTTGCGATGGCCCTAACGACTTCAGGTAAAGTTTATCCCATCAGAGTAAACACTTTTGTATTAAATAATGGGTAAGTGATTGCCAACGCGAATAATACTTTGCAGTTACTGTTCTGAAGCGGATATTTTAATGAATTTATTTATACCGTGCATTTTTTGATACTGCTGTGCGTTATTAATTGCTTGCGATCTGATTAGAAAATATACGTGGTTTTATGAATTGTATTGGTCTTTTGTAGATGTTCAAACGGCGAATGTATTAACATCGCACACCGCTGCAACGGATTGAGTGACTGCACCGACTCGAGTGATGAGATGCATTGCAATGATACTATGCCACCCAAAGGTAGTTCATGTAATACTAATATTGACATGCTTTTTTGTATAAATTTTATGAATTTAATCAGCCGCAGAAGTTTACTTGTCTTATAGTACACAAGCAATCTATGTGTCATCATCAGCACATCGATAACTTAAAGGGAGTTACCGTGTGCTGCGCGATTAAGGAAAATATTGCGATGAAATGTGAAGAGAACTAAGTGGTTTACTATGTAAGCTGACTGTTGTTGAATTCACTGTTCAGAGTCAATAATTTCTTCATGGGGCAATGTATGCTATATTATTTTACAACAAAGTCCCAGGAAAATACGCAGAACTTATCAATAAAAAAGGTTTAATTTTTTAATAAACAAAAATTGTTTAATAGGGGTTATTTATATTACTTAAGAGTATATGGTCGATAACATACTCTGATAGTCAGATAACATGCGGTTTCCAAATGTCATATTTAATTGTACAACATATTATATTGTAAATTATTGTTTAAAAAAAGAGTCTCACTGGGTTTCTTGCTGGTTCTTCCCAGGTTTATTTCCGAAACTGTGGTAAAAGCATAAATGACTTTCAATAAGTTGTTTTGTACATTAAATAAAATTGTTTTATTATTTTCTAAAGCTGTTAAATTATGTGTTATATATTATTGTTTGATATGTTGTGTTAAATATTGATTATTAATATGTTTGAATCAAGACTGGTGGACATTAACGATATTGTGACAATTATTTCAGCTGAGTGTAACGATTACCAATTCCAATGTCGAGATGGAAGCTGCATTGACATCCAGTTTTCTTGTGACGGAAACTTTGATTGCCTTGATAATTCAGATGAAGATAATTGCCGTAAGTCGTTAAATTCTATGATCGTTTTCTTATATACATAAAATTATAAATCCGCATAAAATATTATAGAAATGAGTATTAATTCAATAACGCACATTTAATTTGAAAAGCAAAAATAAATTACTGTATTACTCATTTAGATTTTGACATGCCATTTACGTTTGTGACCCGATGTTTATTGGAATTTGGGAATTGGAATTAATATGTTTTCTTTTTTCTAGTTTTAGAGTGCATTCAACACTTTACTTCCAAAACACCAAAATACCGATTGCAGTTTTTGTATTCACAACACATTCCTAGTAATAAAATTAGAAACATTCCATCTAAGTTTTGTAATTCGAATTGATATAATTTAATATGCGTCAATATTAAACACGGGAACCAAAAGTTTAAGCTATAAAAAATTATAATATTGCCTGCAGTTGATCTATTGCTGTACCAATTGCAGGTCTCAGCCTGCTAATTATATTAATGCGACTTATTATTTAGATTCAGCACAATCTTTTATAAATGTCAGAAACGCGGTAAGCACAATGCACTGATGCGCTTGTAGACGCCAGCAACGGGCAGTGGGTCTTTCTAAACGATTTTCTAATATGCACCTCAAACTGCTTCAATCACACTTAAACCTGCACTTTCGAATCTAGTTGTTTTTTTTTTTTCATTTCAAATTCATTTTTGACAAAATGTTAAATAGCATAATTTTTAATTGTACACAGTATTCTTTAGTTAAAATTAAGTATTCTCTCCTATAACATAACTATATGTGGAATAAATATATAGAAATAGGATCAGTTATTCTTTCCGTCCAATCTTGTATCTTTTACATTATTTTATATTTCAACTTAAAATAACATATACCTAAAATAACGTAGTCAATACCATAGAAGTAGTACCTTCTATAAATTGATTTGTAATCTTATTTCCCTGGGAAAAGATCGAGTGCTTTTTTCACACCAAATAGCAATAGTGTGTTACTAGTAATTTTAAGATAACGAATTAAGTTTCGCTACTGTACAGCCTGGATTGTGGAGCTGCCAACACCATCTCCGCCACCGTGCCACGAATCTGAATTTACATGTTATGACGGCCGATGCATTCCACATGTACGACGCTGTGACAATATTTACGATTGCTCGGACTTCTCTGACGAGCAAAAATGTTACCACTCTGGTACAAACAAAACGTTTTAACCCTTGATTATGGAATGTTGTTTGCGTGTTGAAAAATCATCATACCATCAAATTCCCTAACTATCTATTCAATTTATTTTGCTCATGGTTGTGTCCATGCTCAATATTTTATTAGTTATTTAGGCGGTTGTTGTCTTTCTTTTCATTATCCACTTTGTTTTGTAGTCGATCCGCCATTTTGCTTTTGTACACCAAAATGCACATATTTTATATACTTATTAGTATATTATCTTAGTTCCCATTTCAGTAGTATTTGCATGATTTTAAGTATGGGTTTTAGCAATAGTATAAGTTCTTATTAGCAGTCTTGTAAGAAAATATTGACATACTATACGTTTCGAAAGAGTTGTCTCCAAGTTATCTTCAAGGTAAAAATTAACAAAAGTATTATTTCGATGTAAAATTATAGTACTCGTATGATAGTAGTTATAAATCTTTTACTATACAATCTGTAAAGAAAAGAAAATTCCGATCCGTGGAATTACCGTGATATGAATCTGTTTATATAATATTATTCCGAGAACAAATAAAATGTCTTAGTTAAATTAGAGCTATTACATGCCAATAGAAGCGGTGCGTGTGGCCGTTGGCCGTTAGGTAATAGCAATAACGCAACGAGTTCTAGAGGCTAGTATCGACTAGACTTGCCGATTCCACTCGACAGAATCTCAGTAATTCGCCTCCTTGTATTTACTACAAAACAGCGTCGTGCGCCGAGCCTAAACTCCAGAGCTCCACACTTGTCAGTTGAATTTTTGCAATACAGAGGTAATAGTGTTCTAAGATACTCGTACAAACTCGTCGCCAAGACACAGATATATGGCGATGCGTCTACGAGCAGTTTTTAAGCTTTTCGTTATTTTTATATTTCCTTAATAGTGACTCGTCGTGAGCACTCTTTTTAATGTTTAATATTCCCTACAATATCCCCCTTTCGGATCGGACAATATGTTTTTTTACATATTGTATACTTATAATAAAAACGGCCAATAATATGTTAATTATGTATAGTTTTAACGTAAGCTTACACATCAAATGTAGTTAAATTATACGATTTCAAAAATATTTCACGTTTCATTAGATTCTATTGAAACATTAAAATAAAATTATAAAGTTTATTTGCGAGATAAAAATGTAAGATTCCGCGTTTTAGGCTGCAAAGAGACCGAATGGCAATGCACAACAGGACAGTGTATTCCGAGTCAAGCGTACTGCGATGGGCGGCAAGATTGCTCCGATCTATCCGACGAAAGAGACTGCATGACTACTACCTGGTCCCCGCCTATACAACCACTGTCCACTACCCGCAGCCCTAATCCTCCCTACACTTATGCCCCACCGACTCAATATCCGTCTACCTTTTATCCTCGTGATTACACCACCGTACAACCTGGCGGCTTTGCTGGCTCTTCTCCTAGGCCACCTTACCCTTACCCTCAAAGTGGAGCAGAAACAACAGGAGCATATGATGGATCCGGAGGATCAAGAGGACAAGGAAGACCCGGAGGACAAGGATCAGGTAAATTTATCTTAAAACATTAAAAAACTGAGTTGTCATTTAAATGTTATATTATTGTAAAACTGATTCAATACAAAGTAATTCGTCAGAAAATTTATTGTCCGACAGCACAGGATGGATCCGCATAAATGGCAACAGAATTTTGTACAAAACAATATTATATATAAACAAAACTAGGTACTTACACCATTTTGCGATTATAAAATTACATTAGTAAACTGCTTAACTGTATTTTTACTTGGTTATTTTATATTTCATTACCTATATGTAAAGGCGTATGATATGAAGGCCTAAATAATTTATGTAATAAAAAAATTAAATTGACAAACAAACTTAAAGTTCACATGATGGTAAGTTGTTACTGCAGTCCAAAAGCAACTAACTTCTAATAAAAACTACTACAAATGCGTTACTCTCTCTGAGGACCAATATGGAATACCTCTCAACCTGTAGTTATACTGGCTCTCTTTAGCCTTCAGTCTCCCACAGGAGTGCTCCCAACTCTATTAGGTGGCCGAGAAAGAGGGTGATTCTTACCCAAACGGAAAGGTACCACATAGTAATAAGGAATTTGTAAATGCTTAAAACAAAACTGAGGGCGACCATCGCACAATTGGCTTATCGTTATACAAAAATTTTAATTAGATGGGTGCGACTTGAATCAATGGCGTTGCGAAAATGGACCTTGCATTGATTCCAAACGAAGATGCGACGGTCGCGTAGACTGTCCTTACGACCGCAGTGATGAGCTTGACTGTCCGTCTGACAGTAAGACCCCATTTATCAGTGCTAAAACTAAAATCTATTAAACTTTTTAAACTAATAACTGACAAAATCAGCAAATGTTATTTTACCGGTTAAACTAAAACAAAAATTAAGGATATTAACAAACTGATAATCTATGCACGCTACTACTTCGATGCGTTTTTACAATAATAATTGTGGCTAATGTTCAAAATAATAATAGCAATAATATTTTTTAACAATATACTTATGTTTATTATATTATGCTATTGTCAATAAGGTATTTGAAATTAACAAAATACACTGTTGTTACCCTTTTGTTACTAAACGGAGAAAAGTGAAACAATTTCTTTTTTTTTTGTATTTTGAGCCTTTCACTCAGAAGGATATGTCAACCTGATTGTCCCCTTATATAAACTTTAACACCAAATAAAATATGAATTATAGATTGAGGAGAAAGGTAGTCATTGATACTTAGGCTTTCGCTTGAGTTGAACCGAAATGCGCCCATATCAGATTTACTTATGTGTTACTTCAGTTCTACGTGTTGGACATGTGGACATGTGGACCAAACTGCTACACAATTGGCAGTTTGGCGAATTTTTTTTAAATTATATATCCAAACTTTCCAAATGGGTTGTATCCAAAATATAATCTTTAGGCTATCATATTTTAATATTATATATTCTACCAATTTCCACCTCAACAAACCATGGTTTATGAAAAAACTGACTTTGTTATCTTGTTTTTACTTCTCTTGTCAAAAAAAATTTAAACATCAACATTAAGTTCACGTATATTTATTTATCGTATCTCGTGTGAATAAAAGTAAAATGTAATTTGTTGCTTCTGAAACGAATAAGGTAAAACAGTTTTCAATGTTTACTGTGCTAAGCTAATGTGAATAAATATTTACAGGGAGAGATTACACTGCACTGAACCTGAAGACTTACCCAGAAGCACAAACAATTAGAAATGGTGAGTAAATTTACAAACTGAATAATTTAATTTTAATCGTCACAAACACAAGATAACTGTCAAAATTTTTCATGCTTAGTAAATATTCGAAAGACACGTAAAGTTTATTATTATAGAAATGAAAATTGGAAATTTTGTGTCTTAAATTGTTAATACTTGAAGTATTATATTTAAATAAACTAGCAGTGGCCACTGTTTATGAGGCGAAAAATCTGCTAAACCGCTAGTATGACATGGTACAACGTTGATTTAAAACTGTAAACATCAATTTATGATGCAGCCTACAGTTTTTAGTCACTACAAGCCTTTAATCGAAATTTGTGGTAGGGGAAAGAGGGGTAAGTATTTCCTGCAAAAACAGCTCGTAAAAGAAAGTAGATTAATTTACTGTAGTAATTCCTTGTGAAACTACAACAAACCAACACGTAAACAGTCAATTTCTGACAACAGAGCTCTCCCTTATTAAGACAATTATAATAGGATTTGCCTCTATTATATATATATTATTCTTGCCAGTTATTAGTTTTATTAGACCCAAACTCAGCCTCAATGCTTGCAGCTATTATTTATTCTGTATTGCAGTATGAATGGGTCGGCTCGACTGGGGAGAATACAAGTGTAAAATAGTAGCATAATGCCGCTATGTTTCGTACGGTAAATTACGAGAAATGAAGATTTCATTTACGGAGGCATGGTTAGGGCATTTGATGAGGCAATTCATCAAGTCCTGAGAGGTGACAATGCATCTACAATTTGGTTCTTAAATAGAAATGGATGGAGATTAGAAATCGAAGATTTACTGCATTTAAAATAGATTACTTATATCTTACATGTTATTTGTATAATGATAAAGTCTCAGTTATTATACTCATAAAATATTTTCTATGTAATTTAAGGTTATTTCTACCCAGTTATAATTTTCGAACGGTAACCTTTATTTTAAGTAAATAAATCTACCAAATCTAATTAGGTAAATAATAAATGTATTTTTAAAGTTTACATTGGATTTTGTAGTGAATTCTTATGCTCACTAAACATCTTCTGTTTCAAGATTTAACCTTACAATATTGGTGGAGGTAACAGTAGCAAAATCTAGATATTATTAAAATGTAAAGCTAATTAGTTATTTTATACAATGTACCTCTTCTCTTTAATAAATGATGTTAACTATTTCTTTCATGGTGGTGGACCAGTCTACTCTGGTGAGTCAGTGTGTCTAAGATATTTGGGTATTTAAAAGATGGGTTTATTAATTCTAATTATATCATTATGTTATGTCTTATATTATAAATTGGATGTTTTATTTTATAATATTACATATTATTATTTATATCACAAATTATAATATCATTTTAAAACATTATATATTACATCTGTAATTGTTCTAATCAATTACATACAACTATTTTAATATTATGACAGACCTATCATTTATACAATATGTATTTTTTTTCACTCGGCAACTTTTAGTGCTTAAATGTTATCTTTGTTAACCTTTTATGAAAGACATTTTAAAAATAGAACGAACAATTGCAGATTACACTTTTGAAAATTAAAAACTAAATCTATGGCTAAAATCTATGAAATCGCTATTGCATGGATTTAAGGGATTTCATCAAAACATAATATATAATATTAATTAGAAAGTACTAAGTACTTACCTTAAAACTTAATTCAAAATTGAGACGGTCAACTTTCCTACTTCAGTTGTACCTACCGTTCCGTAACAGTTATAAGCCCGCAATCTTTAAAATATTGCAATAATTAATAAAATATCCCCGCAAAACGTCTCATTCATCCAGCATTATAAAATTCAATCATATATTTCTAAGTCTAATCAATGCAATTGATAACAATAAATCTAAATAATAGAAAATTTTCCGTTGTTCACAACCGCTTCAGGCAGGTCGTCGTCACTGACACGGTATGCCATGCGCTTCCAAATTAAAACAAAAAGTTTTTGATAAGGAGTTTTTCTGCAGGAAGATTAAGTGTAAAGCAAGGTATTTGGTTATTTTGTTGAATGTTAAGGTGAATGACTTCAGTAAGTTGCCTTTGATTGCTTCCTAATTTAAGATAAAACAAGTCATAACGCTGGCCGCCTCTTTTAATGGTTTGATTTTATTAATAAGAATATATATAACAACTTTTTTCATTCGACAATATATAAATATTTTTATATTCTTATTTGAACTGAGCGCTAATCAATCGGCGTTATAGAACCTCTGTAGACGTTAACAATGCTGGAGTTTTTTTACCTTCTAACATAATGCTGATAAATTGCATAATATATAAATTAGGTACTGTAATATATTACTATAAAACTTATCAACTCCTGATTAATAATAAGTAACAAAGCACTATAGTAAATTTGAATTTCATCCCATTTAACAGTCATTTTTTTTACACTTATGTCAGAGAGTGTAATAACTAATAATAGATAGAATTAACTTTCATCATAAGCTTAGTGTATGGAAAAATTAAAGCGTCGCAATAACAAAATATTATATTCATTTCAGTTCTTTAAAGGCGGTTTTAGTTTTTTTATCCTTTTGACTGGACTTAGAAATATCACAAGTTCAATATCACCTAAATTTAAACATTAAAATCTTCTTCCCCTATTTGCTACCCTTGGGGGTAGAATTATTTTTTCAAAATCATACGGAACCACCCCTGAAGTATAACCTATGTAATAAAAAAAATCATTTCCAAATCGCTTCTCAATTGGCGAATATATCTCGTAACATAAAAATAAATTAAAAAGCATGTCGAATTGTGAACCTCATACTTTCTTGAAGTGGACTAAAAATTGATTATTATTATTTACTTCATAATATAAGGGCATCATTACATTTTATTGTAATAAAATATTTTCCTTTATAAATAAGGAATGTGGTTTAATAAATTTATTATTTTGTTTTCTTTCATTCTTATTTAGTCATGAACGATCACTGCTTAACTCCATCGGTACGTGCATCTGGGTAAAATCATCGTAACAGTCATATTCAACATATTATTACATTGAATTGTTTGCCTGCAATGGAAGGTTGCATCCAGGGGGCTTCTGAAAGTTGATTAGGTATTAAATGAAATGTTTACTCTAGGCGGGGACGTTGTCTTCCAATGTCGTGACGAGGGTCGAATCCGCGCGCCTGTTCGTTGGGTCAAGGAAGGCGGTAGACCTCTTAAACCTGGTTCTATAGACCGCAATGGCCGTCTCGAAATGAACCAAGTATCTGTAAGTATAACATTATTGCAAGTTTTAATAAAAACACATGGAACGCTTACCATAGCAGAAAGTGTAATTTGGCTTATTCTCATAACGATATCGCCTTGACGATCCGCCTGTAGGTATTAATACAATCTTCTTTATATGTCCGATGTAAAATAACAGAACAGCTACGGAGAAATATTTTAAAGTTCGAGAAGCATGATACTACGATCGTTAAACTGCTCGCAAGCGTGGTGATGATGACAAAATCCCTGAGATGTTTCATGGACAATAGACATGATACATACGCATCTCAACTGAGATTGGATCATTTCTGTGTTTAACCAAACTGCACAGAGTGTTCAAAATTTCATTGAAATCAGTTCAGTAGTTTAGGAGTTCATCGCGGACAAACAATGTGACACGCTATTTTTATATATGTTTATATATATATGCATTTTAATAATCAAAGCAATTCAATGCTCGCTCCCAAGCAGCTCTTACGTCGTGTAGCATTTTTCATTCGGTTGTATCGAATGATATTATCAACTCACTCGCTCACAATCGCTTCCGCTCAGCTTTGGCACAGCGACGAGCAATCGAATCTCCGCTAGGAGTAATAGTTTTCTGTGATTCGTATGTTCCATATTTTACCCAATTCCAAATGAAACATTAATTTGCAAATGGATTTTCATTTTGAGCTAAGTAAGCCATAGTAGCGTAAGTTAAGCGCTCGCCTCAAAATTCATAGAATTTTTAAAAAATTACAGAGAATTTTTTCTAGAACATGCAAAGTACAGTAACATGCATTGAGCACCGCAGCCGACACTTCTGTTCAAAAAAATTACAGAGAATTTTTTCTAGAACATGCAAAGTACAGTAACATGCATTGAGCACCGCAGCCGACACTTCTGTTCAAAAAATTACAGAGAATTTTTTCTAGAACATGCAAAGTACAGTAACATGCATTGAGCACCGTAGCCGACACTTCTGTTCAAAAGCCTTATACATCTAGAAAGTATATCTATCGGGTTCTATATTCGAATAAGGGATTTCTGGCCTTTTGTATAGTCGCCTCTTACGTCCTGAGGTGGAGGAACAAGGTGAGGTTATTGATTCCGTTACGCTGACTCCACCCAAAAATCTAAGTACACTTTCTGTAAACAGGTATCCGACAGCGGCGTCTACATTTGCCAAGCTCCCAGATATTTAGGCTATCCCGGCTCCGAAGTGAGGGTCACGCTGGTAGTTGAAAATAAGCGTAAGTATTCAAATGCCGGTTTATTCCAGTAATTCCGTTTTTCACATTTCAGTGTATTTTACTTTGAACTAACGTAAGTAAGCATCGAAAGATAAACAGAATTCGTTTTAATTAAGTAATGATAAAAAAATGTATTATAATTATTAATAATAAAATCTATAAATACTTGTTTAATAGATAGTAGATCGGAGGTGATAACTAAGTGTCTAAAATGTTTGCAGCTCAAATCTCGAACATACCCTTCCACGCGTGCAAACCATCTGAGGCAACTTGCGGCAACGGTCAATGTATACCTAAATCGGCGGTTTGCGACGGCAAAGTCGACTGCAGTGACAGATCCGATGAAGACTCTTGCAGTGAGTATTCAGAACTTTATTTTTATGGAAGTGAAGGTGACAGAACCAATGTCCATAATGTAATGGCCAAGTCCACTAGCTATTAACGAGTGGTCCTGTCACAGTAGCCCATCGTCACCCACATTTTATCTTCGATTAAAAATCAAAACACCACAAGCCTACCCGAGAGCTCGGTGAAGCAAGACTGCCAAAACTACCGGTGTCAAATTATTAATATACAGATTTTAAGTTTAGGTAAATAAGAAGTTAAAGTAATTCTAATATGAGGTAGTGTATATATCTTACACCACCTAATACACCATCTATCTCATCTCCAATATCTGAATGTAAAATTAGGGATCAATGTTTTTAGATTTTATATAACGTTGTAGGCAGAGCCTCGTCTGTAAATCAGGAGGATATCGGAATAATTATTCCCTGTACTCGCTACCCAATAAATAGTGGTAACATTGTAGGAATCAAATCATTCTTCGTACATGTAAAGGTAACAAAGAAGTACAGTGTGAAAACAACAAAATTTCTGCAAATAGTAGTCATATACTACTTGTCTGCAACAAAGACTGGTCTAAACACAAATTTTCTAATTGAGTTCAAGCAAAAAAAAAGCAATCTATTTCATACTCGATATTTTTCCTGAATATCGGTTTATGATGAAATGCTTTACCAGTCCTGAGTTTCCGATTCTTGTCATTAATCGTCAAATCACTACATTGACGAAACTTGGCAGTTTATGCTAGAGAACACTATAAAGACATTACATGTTACAGACCAAAACGGACAATGCGAACCAAACGAGTACCAATGCTCGAATGGTAAATGTGTGCTCAAGACCTGGGTGTGCGACTCCGAAAACGATTGCGGCGACAACTCGGACGAACGCGACTGCGGCCGCTCTGAGTATGGACAACTCTGTTCACCTGTCGAGTTCTCCTGCGCTTCGGACAAGCAATGTATACCTAAATCCTACCACTGCGACGGCCACTTCGATTGCCAGGATAGCTCCGACGAAATCGGCTGTGGTATGTACCTAATATTTCCTTCAACTTTTTTTTACTTTATAAGGTCCCATACGCAACCGTCGAGCCTCTAAGACTGATAATAAACTTTTTTTAATAAAAAATAAGGGTGTTATACAAACACACAGTCCACTTGTTGGTGAGTAGATGCTGTACACCCACATACATCATCGACTAAGAATCAAAATGCAACTATGCTACCATTTTTGGTCGCTGGTATTCTGTGAGAGCCTGGCCCTACTATCGAGCCAACTAATATCGTGCTAAAGCCATAATACTTGTGACATAATGATATAATCCCGAGCAAGCTTCCGATTATCTGGATGTTACCGCTGTGGTTGAAAATTAGATAAGAAAATAATTTCTAAGGAACTCGAGCCAAGGTCGCTTAAAAGTTAGATGTTTGTCACACACTCACAGTAGAATAGCGTGATGAACTATTTGCGGCACTAAGAACTACAGCCAGATTGCCACAAAGCACGGTCCTGAACTAGTTGTTTCCATCAAATACTTGAAAGTTTTACCGTTCTTATTACAATCGCGGGTACAGGCAGATGCATCTTAGTCCTCACGGCTGACAACGCATCTGCATTTTAATTCGCAAACGAATATAGATATAGATGTCTATGGGCCACAGCAAACTCTTACCATCAGGTGGACTGCGTGCTCGTTTGTCACCCTTATTCTATAAAAAAAATCGCCGTAGGGGTAAGACTCGCAATAGAAGTGTAATTCTTCATGTGCTCTTGTAGTAGTAGTTGCCAAGGGCGTCGCCAGCTGATGGCCCGCCCTGGGCCATCGGCTGGCGCCGCCCTTGGCTCATTGGTCTAGTAGTCGTAATCGTGGTTACTAATCATGAGGTTCAACATGAGGACAAACGAGCACAGAGTCCACCTGATGGTAAGTGGTTACTGTGGCCCATAGACATCTACATCTACCCTCGATCGCGAATCAAAATGCATGTGCATTATCACCCGTGTCACGCCACGTTTCCCGTAAAAAGTTTCTCCGGTTCTCTACTCGTACACTCACCGTACGAAACACAGCAGTGTTAAGCTGCTATTTTACGCTAGCATTCTGTGAGGGCGTGGTCCTTCCCCGGTCGAGCCGACCCATTCATTCTTTAACTATACCAGTAATATAGCTGCAGCATGGCTCTACCACATATAACCATGCTTTGGAGAGCACGTAAAGCCGTTGGTCCTGTGCCTAACCTCTTCCGGTCATGTCGGATAACCATCTCATCGGACCATAAGAGTGAGGGAATAGAGTGCACATGAACTTGCGCATACACTTGGCACTATAACTGAAACTGACTGAAACTCCGAGTATCGGTCCTCCAGACCGAGTTTTTTATTACATTTTTAGTTTTGTAAATTATGATTATAATTTTAAAAAATGTTCCAACAGCTCCCGTCCACGTAACTCGTCCGCCTGCACCATCGAACGTGAGACTTAACCCCGGTGAAAGTCTAGTCTTGGTCTGCGAAGCTGTTGGAGTGCCGATGCCTCTGATATCTTGGCGTCTCAACTGGGGTCATGTACCACCCAAGTGTACTTCGACTAGCATCAATGGGGTCGGAACGCTTACGTGCAACGATATGCAAGTGAGTGTGAACTGTGAATTTGTTTATTTAAAAGTCTATGTCAAATCGGCAGTAGATATTTAATATTGATAATGTATTTTTTTTACGATAACATTAACCATAATATTTCTTACAGCCGGAAGACAGCGGTGCCTACTCCTGTGAGGCTATCAACAGAAGCGGTACCACCTTCGCCGCACCGGACTCGATCGTCTATGTCAACAAGACAGATGTCTGCCCAACCGGATACTTTAATAGGTATATATCTTTTTAATAAGGTTGACATACATTATACACTACGGCAGCTATTGAACATCCTCAATTTCAATCATAGAAGTCAAGATGCGTTGAAATGTCTCACAGCCTGCAGTTCTTTAAATTATCTTAGCTTTCTGATCGGAACTCACCAGTGAGTGTGAATTCGCAGTCACGAGTCGTTCGTGAATGAATGAATGACCCTTGACACTGTACTTAGGTGTGCCACCTAGGTACAGTGTACAGCTGGTCGTGTTCTTAAGACTTTATTGATTGTATGAAATTGCTACATCATTAGTCATGTGTGCTGCAAAGGAGTGTAATAAGTTGCCAGCATCTGTCTTTCTATCCGATCATAATGTGAGTACAACAAAAGCTTATTCACTATTGCCTTGTTGACAAAGTAGGAGTGAATAGGCTTTTGTTAAGTAAGTGCGTTACTTCACCATCTTGGCTACATCACCACTTACCACTGACTTAGAATAGTAAAAAAAATAGTATGTGAATGTTTGTCCTGACATTGATGCGTTTTTTTGTTAGATTAGGGAACGGGGCGGTCTGTCACGGTATCGCAGTTGCCTGAGATGACCCGAAAGGATAACCGGGATTAACCCGTTCGTGGAAAAGACTACAGGGATAATATTAGTCGACAGACCACCTCATATGTCGGTCACGTCATGAACTAGTTCTAGAATAAAAAATATATTATAACGTAATTTCTTATTACGTTACATAAATTCATTAGCGTTCTTGCTCCTTTTCGAATTTTTTTAGATGCGACATCGGCTGATAGCGCAATCTTGATTCCCTTTTTTAAATTGAGAGGTGACGACACGATCGCCGTCGTATCCATAATTACGGCTTTCTTTATTTTACTCTTCACCCTCACAAAGATACTCAGTTTGGGTAAATCGTGGGGGGGGGGAGAATCAACGGGATATATATATATATATATATATATATATATATATAATTTGTATTGTTATTATTACAGCGAGGCCCGTTCGCAAAACGAATGCATCCGCTGCTTCTGCTTCGGGGAATCGAACGTGTGCCGCAGCGCCGATCTGTTCACGTACAACATGCCGACACCACTTGGAGAAGGCGGCACCAGGCTGCTCGGTGTCAAACAGACCTACAGCGGCGAAATACAGATTGACAATCAGGCCATCACCGACCAGTATTACTACCAAGCTATGAGGAACGGAGCCACGGTAAACATTGCTACTTTTTTTTACTAAGCGTTGGCTTATTACGCAATAGGGCAGGATTATTGAAAATTTAAACGTAGAAATGAAACACGTGGTACACAATCAGTTATTGTTTTAATTATAAAATATGTCTAGATTTATATATGCGCTAAATGAAGTAAAAAGGTCCACAAATAGAAATACAGCCAAAATGGCCTACAATGCGAATGCACACGCGTGATTACGCTACGGTTGTGGAGAAACTGCACAGACATCCAAATACTCATTATTGCTCAAAAAAATATATAAGAATTGTAGCAAATATTGACTGTAAAGAAAGCTGTAGACCATATTTTATACCATACAAGATATACATAACAGTTACATCTCTATACATATTAGAATAATGTAAATTAGTAAGAAAACATATACCTAGATATATTTCGATAATAATATTAATAGACATGATAACAACTTAAGAAGAGAAATAAATTAATATTGCCTAAAACCACTTTATCTACAGTTCTGGACCATATTCCATAGCAGATAAATTATATTAGGTCGGGGAAAAAGTTTCTTCGTATTTTGTTAGTATAAAATTTAAAAAAATCTATTTGCTTGTACTTAAAATAAAAAGTAAAAAGCACTTTCGCCATTTTTCTAATGTTTTTCTGTCCGCCAAAATGTGTTTATCTGACGAAGAAATTTGATACATTCTGAAGCACAGAACACAATTACTCTCTTGTTCTGAAGTTTTATCCCAAAAAAGGTAAAAATGCGACTCAAGCCGTGAAAAAATTTGTGACGTTTCTAGACCTAACGCAGTGTCAGTAAGAGTAACACAAAGTTGATTCAAGCATTTTCAGTCCGGGAATTTTGATGTCAAAGATGCAGCTCGCTCTGGTCATTCGCAGAGGCATTCCATCTTAGTCCTCACAGATGGCGACGCATCTGCATTTTGATTCTTTATTGAGGATCTAAGGGTCATAGCAACCCCTTACCATCAGATGGACTGTGTGCCCGTTTATCACCCTATCCTATAAAAAAAAAGTAGTTTCCCGACATAGCCGATGAATTGAGGATTGACCACAAAACAGTTTTGACCCATTTGATAAAGTCTGGCTATACAAAAAACCTCGATATTTGAGTACCACAAGAGCGCACTGAAATAAACCTAATGAAACTCATTTGCAATTCTCTATTGAAACGTAATGAAACCGAGCCATTTTTGAAAAGATTGATCACTGGTCATGAAAAGTGGATCACATACGACAAGAACGTGCGAAAAATGTATATATATGTATATTATTGTTATTATTAATATAGCCTTTGAATTTGTTTTTTTTTTTATTTACATCAATTGTACATATGAAAATTTATCACGCAGAGAAACCCTGTCCATGCACGTAGCCCTGTCCATAACTCGCTGAGCGACCTTGAGATTCCTCATACGGCGAACAGTGAAGTACCACGTCTCAGATCCATAAGTCATCACTGGCAACGCGCACTGGTTGCACAGTCTCGTTTTCAGGTTTTGAGGTATACCTGAGGAGAAGACGTGTAGTAGTTTCCCGATAATATATATATATATATATATATATATATATATATATATATATATATATATATATATATATATATATATATATATATTTAAAAAAAAATATCCTCAACCGATTGAGCTGAAATTTTGCATATAATATGCAGTAGTAAATTTAGTTTGGATGACAATGCATGGTTAGCTAAGTAACGTCATTCTAATCTAAATCCAATATGGCGGACCGCCCAAGATGGCGGACTAATTATTATAATTTTTAAAGTACTTATTTTCAGTGTATCAAAATAAGTACTTATAATTAATCAGTAATCGTGCTCGATCCGTAAAATATAATATATTATTATAGGTCACCAAACTAGATTTGGGTTCATCCTGGCCAAGAAACAGCGACGCACAGCCATTCCTGACTCTCCCAGAGACTTACAATGGCAACCAGCTCACTTCCTACGGCGGTCACATCAGATACAACCTCTCCCCGCACTCTACAAGATTTAGTTCTGATGACACACCTGATATTGTAATAAAGGTAATTTATTGATTTTAAATTATTGTTATCACTCCAATGTTATTGTACTACGACATTGTAGTACCATGAAATGAAATGTATTTATATGAATTAATTTCAGGGCAAGTACCAGAGCCTTAATTACAAATACCGCGGGGAAATCTCACGAGACGCTTACATTGAAGCCCGTCTTACACCTGGCAACTGGCTGAAGCCTACTTCCAGAGGACCCGAGCCTGCTTCCAGGGAGGACATTATGATGGCGTAAGTTATAACAGGCCATATTTAATTAATAAAAACGGTAAAACGTAATTTTGTTAAAAAAGTTCAATGACTTTTCCTTCAAAGATGGTATTTTTGTACCATTAATTTTTTTTTATCCAGTTTGGACAACATTGAAATGATTCTCATACGCGCGGGCATAAACAACGCTGGTGTTAACATTACGGACTTTGCGATGGAATCTGCTCAGCACATCAACGTTGGTCTTGGAGCCGCCAGTCTTGTAGAAGAATGTACTTGTCCACCTGGATACGAAGGGTTGTCTTGCCAGGTAAGTAACTTCGCAAAATTTTTAGATTTAACTACATATACTTATCCTATGTTTTACGCTCAAGTTAACGATCATAGTTAGAGAGAATTGTCTTTTTTTTAATAAATATTATTAGTAGATGTTTAAAAAAATATCATTTTCATCATCAGCGTATTCAATTATTAAACTCAGTATATCACTGTTCAGTCCAGTACCTATTTAAATCAGTCGTAACTAAAATAACGCCATCTATTAAAGCATACAAGAACTAACCAAACCCAAGCACAAGGCCCAAAGGAAGCCTTATGTGATGTGCTGCTGTTACTTTGCCTCTACGGCGCTACGATCATGATTATTTCCATTAATGAACACTAAATACTGTAAGTTGTGTCACCCTTGTATATATAGAGGTCAGTGTGTGTTACCCTATGGTTTCAAATATTGTATTAACCTCTCAGGCTCCGACATTTTATTGAATTTCTAGTGGGCCCAAAACCGATTGACTCTTTACTCCTTTAGTCAGAACTATGTTCAAGCGAAAGAGTATAGTAGGTTAGGCCATAAACACTTTTTTTAAATGATGGTAAATATAACTTAGAGCTAGTCATTACTATGTTCTCATCCAAAAATATAAAATTATCAACAATTAAAATATCGAATTATTTGTATGAAGGTCAAGTGAGTAATAGAGTAACGACGATTGCAAGACGATTTGTCGATAAATAAAATGTTTTGAGAAATTATCAATTACCGTGTAGTGGCGGTGTATGAATATTCATATCATTCCGTGGCTTTCGTAAGAGGCGACTGATCCATTATTCCACGGTACACGTACCAAGTACCTACCAACGTTATTTGTTGTGTTATTTTGGTACTTTTTCACCGTGATATTATTTATCACTCATATCTAGAGGCGATAGAGGGAAATAAATCAGGAGATGGCCAGCAGCATCTCTTTTTATTTAAAAAAAAATCTTCCTAATAACGAGTAAAATTAATAACTGCCGTTGCCAACCGGCTTGCCAAGCGTTGCAACTATGACAAATATACCCTCTATGAGGCATGTAGTGGAGGCCTATGTTCAGCTGGTTGTTTTATAGTCAGTAACGGTGTTTGTTGTAATAGTGATAAGAAAAAAATTTGGGAGGAAAAAAGACTAACATTTTTTTCTAAATTTAATCTCGGTGGAACGCGGATGCTCCGTGCGATGTTTATAGCAGCGTTGCAGATGTGGGCGATATTTGTATCAGTTAAATTTTGTGCTCCCCTTTATTTCCATGGCCCATGGTCAGCAGTGGAAGGATACTGTAAGACGAGGGAGGGAGTAATTTTATTATTTGAAAAAATATTTTTGTGAGTAAAAAAGTCATCAAACATCAACATCAAACAATATCCTACCACGTGCATTAGATTACTATAATTATGAAGCATTATGAATTAAATTAAATGAAAAAAAATAAGGTTTTGAAAAAACTAAAATAATGAATATCCATCGTAATATTATGTTAAAATTTTCCGTTTTCAATAGATTTCTTGAAAAAGAAATATTCGATATAAAGATGCTTTTGAATTAGGCAAGTATTAAATGCAATTTATTTATTAGTAATAAATATCTAATTGAGTATTGTGTATCTAAATCAGTTCGCATAATGTTACGCCGTTACGTGCAATTCGCGGACTAGTGTGGAGCGGACATTAGATGATACCTATTTGCGAAGCGATACCTACCCTCCTGTAGGGATGGACAAGGGAAAAAAGTATATCGATATATATCGAATTGATATTTTTAATCAATATCGATATATATCGAGTGAACAAATATCGATATATCGTCATCAATTGCATGATGTAAGGATAAGGCCAAAATTTTAATATAACTTACGGTTGGACTACGAAAAAATACGACAACCACAGATTAACGCTTTTGTAGCTCTTACCATTAATACGATATTTTAAAATATGTCGAAAATGCTACGAATTCGATACTCTAAAAATAAATATCGATGTATCCCTTTATCGGGATTAAAAATATCGACAGTATATATCGATATTGTTATGAGAAAATATCGATATTTTTGCCCAAGCCTACCGTAACGCCTTTGTAACTTTTGTTTGTTTTTGTTTTTCTCAGAGATAAAGAGTACGTACATTTTAATTTTCTAAGCGGCTTTTACATATATATGGGATCTTATATTAGTTAGAGAGCAATTGACCTTGTAATTGTTAAATACATATTAGGAAAATAGATAATAGAGTACTCTTAAACCACAAAATTCTCTTTTTGTAGAAATGTGCAGCAGATCACGTACGTGTGAAGAACGGACCATGGCTGGGCGACTGTGTGCCCAAGAAGACATGTCCAGAAGGAACTTATGGAGACCCTAACAGCGGCTACGATTGCAAACCATGCCCATGTCCGCTTACCAACCGCGGTAATCAGTTCGCGAGAACTTGTTCCGTTGGAGCTAATGGCGAAGTCATCTGTGATTGTTTCCCTGGGTATGTAAAATTTTACTAGCTCTATTAAGTGTATTAATAGAAGGTAGTAAAATAATGTAAATGAGGATGTATTTGACTACCTAGTATATTTTTATGCCATTTGCTATAGATATTACTGTTCCATGGGTCCAAATGCGATAAAGTACCTGTGTATACGGCTAATGGTCGTTCCTAGTAGCTAGAAGGCTGGTTTTTAAAGGCTAAGTATAGCCATTCAGCGAGTAAACACAGGCAGCATTCTTGGCACCATATTATAGAAAATAAGGCTGTAAGATACATTTGGTCCGTAATTACAGTTTTCTTAAAAAATTAAATCTCTGTTTTATGTTTAAATATTTTATATATTTATTACCACACAATTTATATTTCAATTAAATTATGTAAATAATTATTACTTAATATTAAGATTCTTTTTATAAAACTTAAGTTACAAACAAACTTACAGTCCACCTATGGTAAGTGTCTACTGCAGTCCATGGATACCGGCAGCCAACTTCAAAGAAAGAATGCTATAGATCCACTGTCACCTCAAAACACCAGCCTGTTAATATACTGGTTCTCTACTCTCCAGACTAGAAAACAGCAGTGTAAGCACTGCTGTTTTGTGTCAAGAATAGAAAGAATAATATATTTTAGTATTGTATCTTAAACACCAATTACCTAATGTAGTTATTACTTACATAAAGTTTCATATTATAATATTTATATGGAGTACTTTTTATTATATTTTTAACAGATATGAAGGACCCGACTGCCGCTATTGCTCTGAGAACTATGTTGGTAATCCATTAGTCCCAGGAGACTCTTGCAAACCCAAACCCTCAGACAACTGCAATGCTCTTGGAACAAGTAGTGTCCGCCTTCCAGATGAATGTGTATGCAAGGATAACGTCCAGGGCCGATACTGTGATGAGTGCAAGAATGGATCCTTCTATCTTTCTGAGGACTTCAGGTACAATAAAAAAGTTAATATTACATAGCACACCATGCATCTAGAACAAAACTTTTCTCTAAAAGTTTTCATAGTTTATCCAACCAGATCCTACACCTTTATTTGTTTTAGAACCATTGGTGAATAATCTAAGCTCTTTTGGGCTTAATCCTTCTGGCTAGCTGGTTTCATTTAGTTGTATATTGTACTTCTTATCAAATACAAATTGTTTAGGAATCTTATCATACTTGGATTATAAGATAGGAATTTTTGAGTGAATTCTGTCAATTATGCCTGTATGAGGGACACTATTCTTACTCCAAAGATTTAGGGTCTTGAGTCTGATGGCAGCTAAAGTCGCTTCTTGTTGTATATGTAGATGAAGCGGGGTTAGCTCCAGCATCGCTTCTAATTCAATATTTATGGTATTGTATGCGTTCATTGGGATTTGGTGATACTTTTATTATTATAATTAAATATCAAATAACATAACATAAACATAATCTTAAATCTCTACAACCTACATCTAGCAAATTAAATGAATTCTATTCTATTGTATTTTAATAATAATAAATACAAGAATAAAGATATCTTAACACTGTCACCATCCGCTTTGCAGACAATAGCAATGACCTATATGTAGTGCACGGGAAAGTGAAAGGGTTAAGTTTTCTTATAAGAGAAGTATGTATATATGATCTGCCTTTTGTTATCTTTATTAAACAATAAATAGAAAATACAAACATAAGGTGATTATCAATATCTATTTCATATTATAAATGACATAAATGGCATTATTTAGATGTTATGACATCTTTAAAATTGATCAATTACTAAGCACTGTTTCCTGTACAATGATTAACATGTTTAGAATGTGGGAAAATTAGCAATTCGCAATAAGCAATAATTTTCAACAGTGGTAGAGCCAAGCGGCAGCTTTTGCTGTCGCACGGATGGGCCGGCTCGAACTGGGGTAGTACCACGACCTCACAGAAAACCAGCGTGAAGTAGAGGTTTACCTCTGCGTTTCGCTTGGTGAGTGCAGGTGGTCGGAGGCCCTTATTACTGGAAATGAGGCATTCCATCTTAGTCCTCATGGGTGACAACGCATCTACATTTTGATTTGTAACAAAGGATAGATGTAGATGCCTATGGGCCGCAGCAACCACTTACCATCAGGTGGACTGTGTGCTCGTTTGTCACCCTCATCCTATAAAAAAAAAATATTTATTTTATTAAATGTATAAATTAACTGAATAAATTGCAATTTTCAAAGTTAGTTATTAAACAATTAGTAAATGAACAAGCAAAAGTAAACTACATAATATATCTAATTTATTTCAGGCATGGCTGTGCCCTATGCTTCTGTTCTGGAGTCTCACAGCAATGCAGCAGCAGTACAAATCTCCGCAGAAAGACCACGACAGTCAGTTTCAATGTCCCCAACATAGTCAACCAAGTCAAAGTGTACTCCAGTGCACCGTCTAATGAAGGTGGTGCTATAAAATACATGGCGCCCACCGAAACAAACCTACAGCCACAGTTGGTCAGGGGTGAAGTCCGACTCTCTAGTTTCGATAGATCTCGACCATCAATTTACTACTGGAGTTTGCCTCCTAGGTATTTCAATTTGTAATCTCTATATTGTATAAATAATATCAACTGGATTTTATTTTTTCATTAATTCATACTGTTTCAATTCTTCGCATCATATAATATATTCATTGTAATTTTTTCTGCAGTTTTGCTGGTGATAAAGTGACAGCGTATGGCGGTTATTTGAGCTACAACCTAAACAATGTACAACCTTATGGTCCTAGGAACAATGCAGCTGATGTCCAACTTATAAGTGTAAGTTGATCATTATTTTTGCTATTTAAATAATACAAAATAAAAAATCATGTATGCAGTTCACACATGGTAGAAGTGAAACCAGAAAAGGAGACTGAGATTATATGAAACATTGTATACTGTATTCTAATTCACTCTCTCGCAGGTTAAATCATATTGATGTATTTGTCTCTTTTTTAAGTCACTTTTTCGTTTCATCGATTTTCAAATCAGATTGATTCTAAAGAAGTTTTCATTTCAAAAAGAATGATCATTTATATATGGGTTAGGAAAAAAAAAGGAGTACCAAATTACGAGATAGTGTTAGAAATTACAGTTGCTTATACGAGTATCATCTTCCATTTAGCATTTTAATTTTATATATGCCTTCCCTACTCATTCAGAGGTTTTAAACAGAGATATTTCAATGCTTTCAGTCTCCTTATTTTTATTTTACCCAATATTTTGTTAAAGTTTATCACTTTAAACTGTTTTGTAATAATAAGTCTGCCTTATGCTTGTCCATATTTCTTAGTAGCTCTGTAGGAATATTTTATTTTCAGACAATGTCTCATCAGGACTGCTTTGTCTTGACTTTATGGTGTGTAATAGTGAAAAAGTGTTATTGTAAAAGAAGTAAGGTAGGTTAGATTAAGCGAGTGTTATTGTATGCAGATGTGTTTTCTGCACGTTAATGGCCTTTTGAAGCTTACTGCTGGGCGTACCTTTTCCAGTGCACCCTATGCAGACAACTTGCCCATGGTGGTGGACGCAAAGGCGACACCCACACACTATTAATGCTTCTCAAATCACCTGTTTAATTTGGGTTCATATTTGGAATACATTTTTTACACCGGTGTTCTGTGTTTCTCACAAAGTCATTAGTCGATTCCAAATGAACTGTTTTATTTGTATCACTGGTAAACTTTACAAAATTTTTGCAGGATGTTACATTCCACTATTTTGGTAACTTTGAACCTAGCAACGACGGATCATTGACCGCCAGAGTACAACTGTTAGAAAAGGGATGGCAGAGGTAAGCATATTTTTTTATTTTACAATTGAAGACTAAAAGAGTAGAATTAGAAACAATTTTACTAAACAATTCTTATTGAAAATAATTCTTAAATTGAATTAACCACTGTACTGGTTCGGAAAATACCTATTTCTTGCTCATTTTTACCAGGCTGTCCTGGTAATAATGAGCAAGAAATAGGTGGGACTTTTTTTTGATAAAAGAACAGCATACAATCATATAACATTATGTTACATAATTCTACACAAAACAAATTAGAAATAGCTTGGTAGTGATCACCTCATTCTCAGGGGTTATTATCATCCACAAATACCTTAATAATATTATAATAACCCTTTTTATACAATCTTTGTAAAGTAGTAAAATTGCATTTATGTCCCGCTGCTGAGCCTCATTTATTACACGATTATTGAACAATTAGTCCGCTGCGATATTCCATAGTCTGTTGTCTGACTTCACATGTTTTTAAAATATGTTTATTTCTTAGTTTCCTCACGATGATTCCCTTCACCGCCGAACACGTGGTAAATCAGTACTTAAAATTGCAATTAAAAATTTCATTGAGGCTGACGGTGCTCAAAATGCGTGTGATTGGCGTACTGTGAAGTTACGGCAAGTGCTTTGCTTCTAAACGACCATGGCTCTCATTAGAAATCATGTGTCACTTTGTTAAAAATCGAATATATATATGTAAATATTTATGTTTGTTTGTTCGTATTTTATGCGTTGCCATACCATTCATCAGGTTGCGGTAAAACTTAGTCAACTTATTGCTTGCACTTGCGCGAAGATTATAGGCATAGTACAATTAACTTACACTGGGTATATATATACATATTTTTATACTTAAATTATAATAAATATATACGACTGTAAGAAAACGAATTACTTATATAAAAATTCGTTATTTATCAGTGACAAATTATTGAGAATACTGGGCAATTGATTAAGGTACTACTGAACAGCATCAGGTCGCTCGCGCAAATAATGCACGGCTGGCCCTAAACTCCTAACTTTATCATGAGGCAGAGGTAGATGAAACTTCCCCTCTCCTACGCATGCGTGCTACACCACTTGCTCCACTTCTCCGCGGCAAGAAAACACATCACTGAACACGTAGTGCTTATAAAAATCGTTGTTTCTTAAAACTTTAATAACGTTATATTAAATGACGATATCGCAATGATTTTATTTTTAGATAAGGGCCAAGTGTCTAAGAAATAAAACATAGAAAACCTAATTGAAGTCTATCCAGTAGTTTTTCCGTGATGCGCGACCAATTGCAAATGTCGTATCATTTTATTTATATAGGTTATTAATATTTAGTAATAATATTAGTATCTATATAGAATCTAGATACTAATTTTAAAACGGCCGGTTTCGCCTCACGGCGTCATCAGGGTATATACTCAGAGTACCCAGGGTATTTACTCTGAAGATGTCAATTTTTATCCAAATATAAATATAATAAATGGGTATTACGCGGAACTTAGCTTATTAATTTTTAACATCATAATACCTAGGCCCTGTATTTATAATTAAGTAAAACTTTTTTATTTCATTATTTTAATTTGTTTAACATAATAAATTTTATAATCTTCTATCTGTTCAACAGACCCGACGGTAAAGAAGTATCCCGTGAGCACTTCCTCCTGGCTTTAGCTCATTTGAAGACGATCTTAGTAAAGGCATCATACACTTCCAACGACTTGGCTTCGATTGCTACTGCCAGCATTGAGACCGCGGAACCCAATGGAAATGGTCCTATGGCTCTTCACGTGGAACAGTGCGCTTGCCCCACCGGCTACATTGGAACCTCCTGCGAGAACTGTGCTGCTGGCTACACAAGGTTGGTAGAAATATGCATTTTTTTAATATCAAATTCTCCAATTTTAATGACGATTTAAATCAAATGATTATTTAATTTACCTAAACAAACTCCAATTTTAAGAAAGTGACACGTCCTTTACAAGGATATTCTTGCTTTTAATGTTTTTTTGTATTTAATTCCTCCATAAATAATAATGACCTCCAAATCGAATTTCGGTCACGTCGTTGTCTTAACGCAGACTAGCCATCTGCGCAGGGCAGGATAGTAGTGCTCGAGTGTGCGCGCAAGCACACGTGCACTCTTTATTCCTTCACTCTCAGAGACAGATGGGACGTCAATTCGACACGACCGGAGAGAGATCAGGTGCACGACCAACGACTTTACGTACCTCTTGACACCAAATAGCTACTGAGAATTTTTTAACAGAAAAACTCAATGACTGATTTTGGAACATCTAAGATTCAAACCCCGGACCTCATAAATAGCAATCGCGATTACTCTACCTCTACACCGAAGAGGCAGTCAACTCCTCCATATATATCTAGTCTATTTATATCACGTGTATGAAATCAATCCTCCCGAACAAGCCGGTTTCCTAAAAGGCTTTAGTACCATAGACCACATACATACCCTTCGGCAAATTGTACAGAAGGCCGAAGATGAGACAGACTATGATAAAGCCTTTGATTCCGTCGAAATTTGGGCGGTGCTACGGTCCCTTCAACGGTGCTAAGTTGACTGTCGGTATATCGAAGTGCTGAAGTGTTTGTACAGTAGGGCTACGATGGCTATCCGAGTACAGAACCAGAGTACGAAATCTATCCAACTGCAGAGAGGTGTAGGACAGGATGACGTAATATCCCCGAAACTCTTCACCGCTGCATTGGAAGACGTTTTTAAGCTACTGGACTGGAAAGGACAACGGATTCAACTCGGCTGGGCAGCGTTTGGGAAATTACGGCACATCTTCTCGTCAGGTATACCTCAAAGCCTGAAAACGAGATTGTACAACCAGTGAATGTTGTCAGTATCAGGAAGCCGCTGGCCGTATCAGGAAGCTCAAGGTCGCTCAGCGAGCTATGGAGAGGGCTATTCTCGGGGTTTCTCTGCTTGATAAACTTAGAAATGAGCAGTAGAACAGAGTAGCAGCAGTAGAGTGATCGACATAGCCCAACGGATTAGTAAGCTGAAGTGGCAATGGTTCGGCCATATAGATCAAAGAACCGACAACCGATAAAGAAAAAAGGTTCTCGAGTGGCAGCCTCGTACCGGTAGGCTAAGAGTGTAGGGCGGCCCCCCACTAGATGGAGTGACGACCTGGTAAGTCATGCAGGAAGTCGATGGATGCAGGTGGCTCAGGACCGTGCTTTGTGGCATTCCTTGGGGGAGGCTTGTGTTAAGCAGTGGACTTGTGTCGGGCTGTAATGATGATGATGATGATGATGATGTAGTCTATTTAATATATTGTTATAGGTATAAATATCTTTATGGAAATTTCGAGAAATCATATAGTATTACCTTTAAACTGTTTTTAAACATTATTCATGTAAATTAAACAAAATTGTAAATGTTGTTTCCCCAGGAGTATGAGAGGCCTCTACTTGAAGCATTGCGACATTTGCGAATGTAACGGACACTCCAACATGTGCCACCCTGAGACCGGAGAGTGCTTCGTAAGTTATCAATGTTATTCCATGGCTAAAGTTCAAATTTAAATAATTGAAATTCATATTATATCTATTCACAATCTTCTAATTAAGGGCAGTTTTGTCTGGATGAATATAAAGTGATTGTTTAAAAGTCATGAATAGGCACATATTGTGAGAGATGTTTTACAAAATATGACGTAGTGTGATAAATATTTTTAATTAGAATAATAAAAAACAAAATTGACTGTTGTTGTTATATTACAAGAAAATAACAAAAATATAAATTTCGATACATTTCTTTGGCGTTATCTGCATTCGTCAGTGATTGTGTTTTTTATATGATTTATGACAATCTTGCATATAAGTAAAATACTATAGAACAGTATAAAAGTCTAAAAAGCTGTAAGCGCTTTAATTCTTAAGATAAGAAGAAGTATTTTTAAGTGACAATTATTTCAAATACAATTTTAAATAGCGGCTTACATAAAATAACTTATATTATGTCGTATGATTTCGGGTCTCATGCAATTTACACATATATATTTTTTTTGCTAACTCTAACACATTTCGAAGTCATGTCAGTCTGTTAATATTTAACCGTTCGAATTTTCCAAGTATTGTATTAAATGTTTAACATTGTTCATTCAGGACTGTGCCGACAACACCGATGGAGTCAACTGCGAATATTGCAAAGATGGATACGTCAAGGACGCATACGGAAATTGTGTATACGAAGCTACCACATCTATGTTCTGCGAGTGAGTAATTTAATTTCTATAACGATAACGCTGTCAAGTATGCTATAGAAATATTAAAATAGAAATCTCTATAGTTATAGCTTATCGTGATATCCATCCACCGTTTATCCATTACAGACTATAAAAGGTACACTGCTGAACACAGGTATCCACCATAGATTACCTCCTAAGGAGGATTTATCATAGTTGCCAAGCTTTGCAGGCGGGTTAGCAATCGCAGTTTTTTATTATTTCTAGTTGTTATACATAAAGCAAATGTAATTAGCATTTTTTAATAGGATAAGGGTGACAAGTGAGCATACAGTCCACCTGATGGTAAGTGATTGCTGTGGTCCATAGACATCTACATCTATCCTCGTTATCGAATCAAAATGCAAATGCGTTGTCAGCCGTGAGGACTAAGATGGAATGCCTCGTTTCCAGTAAAAAGGGTCTCCGGTTCTCTACACTCACCAAACGAAACAGCAGCATTGAGCTGCTATTTTACGCTGGTATTCTGTGAGAGCGTGGTGCTTCCCCGGTAGAGCCGACCCATTCCTGCTACAACTATACCAGTAATATAATTTCAGCATGACTCTACCACGTATGAATATTATTAGTATGTATTTTGTCTGCACAGAATACCAGCGTAAAACAGCAGCTTAATGCTGCTGTGTGCTTCGTATGATGAGTATTGATCGCTGGAGACCTTTTTTACTGGAAACGAGGCATTCCATTTTAATATGACAACACATCTGTATTTTGATGGATAATTGGTGTAGGTGTTCAGGGCCTATAGTAGGCCACACTAATGTTTGTTCCGTGCAAGATTTGAAGCTGCAAGCCTCAACGTCGCATCTCAATGCTAAGCCTTGTGACAAAACAAAGCTTTCAATAATGGGTTCTTTCCTTGTTCTTACTGCAGAATATTCACAGGTTTCTATTGATATCACCTACCGCTTATGATCAGGTGTTTCATGTACAATATATAATGTCAAATGGTTTTCTAAATATATTTTTTTGTTGTAGCTGTGATCCTCGCGGAGAAGAAGCACCTTGCGATAGTTCAGGCTACTGTAGGTGCAAACAGAACGTCGAAGGAACCTCCTGCGACAAATGCCGTCCTGGTACCTTCGGACTGGACGCCAGCAATGCCCTCGGTTGCCTCTCTTGCTATTGCTCTGGAGCAACCACCGATTGTCATGAAGTAAGTTTGCTGTTAAACTAAGGGCTTGTTCCTTAATTAGATACTTCACCACACTCAACCGAACTTGCACCGAACGCATATTAAATATAACCGCTGATATGGCAGCGCCATTTTGGCAGTGTTAACATACCTGGTGGTTCCTTCATGGAGGACGTGCGAAATGAGATGCACAAGTTACATTAAACGACTGTCTAAAATTTTGTATGAAGTCACCTCATAAAAAATGTACCGATGTTATCGTTTTGAATTAACCTATCTGAGATTTTTACATTTCAGCTAAAAGTAGGTTAGAATTTTTAAGAGGAGGATAGTATAAAAAATACTTTATAATATTTATTGCTTAATTTTTCTATTCAATGAGATAATATTTTCAAAAATCAAAGTTTTTTTTGTAGTACTAAATATTTAATGAAAACAAAAATTACTAAATAAGACTATTGTTACAAAATACTAAAAAAAAATGTAGCATGTCGCTACGTAAAATGTCGACGTCATCAAAAGACATACGCAATATCGACATCGGTCAAACATCTACGATCTACAAAGTTGCATCTTAGCTAAACCAATCAATCCAGAAACATAGTTTACTCTTCCGCTTACATAAATTAACCTTAAATTCCTTTTTAAGGCAACGCACTATTCGAGAATACCGATGGCGGCACCGATCTTCGGCGAGAATAACGGAGGCTACAGTCTTATGGACTTGTATGCGTCCGAGGTTATCAACGACCAGTTCGTGCCCGTGCCGCACGAGAGCGAGCTAATGTACGTGTTTTCGTCCAGGCCGGATAAGGAACTCTACTGGTCTCTGCCCGGTTTTCCAGGTAATGCAGTTTAAAATAAATTTAAACAAATTTTACGCGACTACTATACTCCACTTCTTTATAAGATAATGGTGACAAGCGAGCACACAGTCCACCTGATGATAAGTGGTTGCTGTGACCCCTAGACACTCACATCTATTTTCAATAAAGAATGAAAATTCAGAGAGAGATTGTATAGTTGTAGCACGAATGGGTCGACTGGGGAAAGAATGCGCTTTCACAGGATACCAGCGTAAAATAGCAGCTTAATGCTGCTGTGTTTAGTATGGTGAGTAGAGAACTGGAGACCCATTTTTCTGGGAAAGAGGCCTTCCATCTTAGTCCTCATGGGTGACCACGCATCTGCATTTTGATTCTTTATTAAGGATAGATGTAAATGCTTATGGGTCACAGCAACACTTACCATCAGGTGGACTGTGTTCTCATTTGTCACCCTATCGTATAAAAAAAGGTGGACTGTAAGTTTGTTTGTCACTTCAGTTTTTAATAAAAAGAGGAATCAGATTATTCACCAGCTGAAATAAATTGAATACACTGCTTTTTTACCACGTTTTTGTATTTTATTATTAACTCTCTTTCGTGTATCGGTATTCGGGTCGAATTTAGTAATTGATGTTAAATTAACTTCCCGATGAGCTAGATACTTGTTAACATGTAAGATTTTTTTTTAGTTATATTAGATATATTATTGCTTATTTATATAACAGGTAACCGAGTTCTGTCATATGGAGGCACTTTGGCGCTGACACAGAAGTACGAAACAGGAGGCATACCGGATCAGGCCACTGCAATGATCATTCTGGTCGGCGATGGTAAATCCGTCTACTGGAGAAGTCCCACACCAATACCGTCTGGTGAAGCCATGGTATGTTAAAATTAATTTCAAGGACAGAAACGAATTATTTATCAATCGTCACTGTAAATTAAGTTCATTAATATTACTTCTTAATCTAAATATTTACATTATCTAAATATTTAACATATTAAAAAAATACTTAAAATGGCCACACAGCTACATTTCCTCACAGACTGGCTAAAAAGTGGAAAAATAATCTTCAACAGAGTAGAAGCATTTATGTTATAACTTTTAAGCACACATTTTCAAATTTAATTTATTATAGTGTAGGTTTCCTAATAAACATGTAAAAAACGTAGACTGTAATAAATTATAGACATTCAATGATAAAACCCATCGTTAGGTCATTCGATATGTCGATTGCCTCGTCTGCCTGGTCTAGTGGTTGTACTGTGTATCACGAGAAAAAAATCTAGAATCGTGACTCCAGATGAACTGAAGTGCATTAACAAAGCCGAAGCCCGAAAGAAAGCAAAATAGTTTATTAAATGTTTTATTTCAGAGCTTCCAAGTGCCTCTTCGGGAAAGTGGTTGGTACCTTCTAAACACAGCGGTACCGGCCAGCCGCGAGGACTTCATGTTCGTTCTGAAGGACCTCAAGAGGGTCTTAGTGAAGGCGACTCTGTCACCTAACATCACATCTTCGGCAATTGCCGATGTATCTATGGACACCGCTACCGAGATGTACGACAATGGAGCGCAAGCAGCTAAGGGAGTTGAGGTGAGTGAACAAGTGAAATTATAGAATAAAATAGAAATGATATTTTAAAATTTCGTAAATTTTTATGTTGTCCATTAAAATAACATTTTAATAATTGTATATGCTTGGAAAGGTAAATAGAGCTCGAAAGATAGTATAAATTTTTAGAAGGTGATATGGGATGTCCGGTAACTATATCATATTTAAATAAACTAAAAAGTAAATAAAAGCTTTTACAAAAATTTACTTCGCAAATATCCGCGTTATAAAATAAAATGATGTGTCTTACCTAGTATGAAGAAGCACCTCCCGCCCTCCCTCAATTGCGTGCACTATCCCCGTCACCACTAATCCCAGCACCGCTACTTCCTACACCACTACACTAGGCAAGACACACCACTGACGATAATACGACACGTGTTTTGCCTCTACACGAGGCATCCTCAGGTGATATAGACTCTACCGACTATAGACTATACCGCTACTAGCGGTTAGCCACCGTAGGGTCTATATCACCTGAGGATGCCTCGTGTAGAGGCGAAACACGTGTCGTATTATCGTCAGTGGTGTGTCTTGCCTAGTGTAGTGGTGTTGGAAGTAGCGGTGCTGGGATTAGTGGTGACGGGGATAGTGCACGCAATTGAGGGAGGGCGGGAGGTGCTCTTCATACTAGGTAAGACACATCATTTTATTTTATAACGCGGATATTTGCGAAGTAAATTTTTGTAAAAGCTCTTATATAATGGATTTCCGCAAAGTAACGCCTGATTCTATTAATTATAAAAAGTAAATGCATATCTAATACACTAGTATTCCTGTCGCACGAATGTAGAAGTTGCGCATAAATTAGGTTCTATAAGATAACAAACTTTAAATTATGAGAATTGTGAGTCAATGCCAATTAAGAATACCAATAAGTTCAATAAACGGAACACTTAATAGACGATGTTCGAGTCACAAAAAATAATTTTCAAAATACAGTTCTTCGACATTAATTTTATCAAAAACTCATTCTATATCTCATTAAGAAATGAAATATAATAGAAATAGAAAATAATTAAACAATTAGAAAAGTTTGAGTTGTATTTTATTTTCTTTTATTTAATTTAATAATAACTAAAAAACAGCATCTTTTTGTGTTCTTTTCAATTTATTGAAACAACTTATCCCAAGAACGAGTGATTTTAAAACATAACATGCAAATAATAAAACAAACTAAATAAGTAACACATTTATAACCTTCAGAATAAGATATATTTGAACTTTGTTCACGCCGGGCCCAAGCTTGTATGGAACGAAGTTCATCTCCTTTACGAATTTTAAGTTTTGAATTTATGTAATTATTGTGTAATCTGACACTAGTTAATTGCAATACTTTTAAAGGGATGTCAAAACCAACATTTCTATAGAAGCTGTATGAAAATGTTACGGTCTTATTATTATCGGTGATTTATCACTTACAGATATTCAGCATTAATTAACTCTATACCTGACTCTTTCTGTTCTTATTTACTGAAAAGAGAAGGAGCAACTTTTAGCATTTCTTATATCATTGCTCTTATTGTTCTTTACAGATTTGCATGTGTCCCGAGGGTTACATGGGAACTAGTTGTGAGAACTGCATATCGGGATACTACAAAGACGCGACAGGTTATTGCAGACAATGCAACTGTAATGGTCACGATTGTCAACTGGGCGTGTACGATGAGGTTGTGTGCAACTGTCGCCCACCGTATACCGGACCGAACTGCGCTACTGTTGGTGCGTAAACATTATTAAATTTTATTTATTCAAACCTAAACTTTATTGAACCTCACATCAGTACAGGATCAAAAAGCGGACTTAATGCTAAAAGCATTCTCTGTCAGTCACCTAAAGTAATCTAAAATCCAACCAATAGCGAACGCTGAAAACTGTTATTATTATTCTAATCTCTAAGAAGACGACACAAGTTTTAGAGTTCATTTTAGCATTTATTCCGTCAATACGAGAGTTTTTATATGATCTCCAAATAATTTATATAGGAAAAGTTACGTTTTGAAGTCACGATTTTTTTTAATTTACTACTTAGCCGTTCCTTCTACTCTATTGATTGATAATTTACGGCCTTACGTATTATCGTTGATTATCGATTATTTTAAATATTAATTATCCCTTATATCTATCTCTTTATATCGTCATTTAGTGGAAAGAGAGAAAGCAACTTTAAGCATTTTTAAACAATAGTTAATACAAAAAATATGGACATTTTGACGAGAATTACTAGTTGCATTCTTCTACTTATTTCTAATATCGCATTATGTGAGAGAAAATTACGATTTGCTTAAACATTATTGCTTTAATACAAACATCTAATACCATTTAGGGTTGATCATGGAACTGCATCCGAAAATCCACGACAATGGCGACTCTAATTCATTACTGCGCAAGGTCACATTCACTTGCAAGTATAGAGCGCCGGAGCCGCTTACTATAAAGTTCTACTTCGAGGGTCGTGAAATGGCGCACCCGAAGTATTACAACGAGTCCAGGCTCTTTAAAGACGGATGGCGCGGTGAACACAGCTGGCAAACGATGTGGGATACGAGGCACCAGGGGGAGATTTACGAGTGTCGGACCATTACGGAAAGGGGCTTTACCCTTGGGGTGTTGACTACGACCTTGCCGGAGAAAGGTAGAGACTGAGAGGGGCTTCGGATTATTGTTACATTGTGATCGTGCAGCTGATAATTGTCCGGCTTACATGTTGTAGTAACAGATCGATTACGATAGTTACGATTACGAAAGATAATCATCAGTATCATTCTATTCATTAATACGGTTATGGTGGTCGTTAAGAGGCCGAGATTGTGATGTGCCCGTTATATGTATTTATGTATTGTCTCAAAATTCAGTGTCGATGTTTGAGTGATTGATTGTTCATTTTCATTCGTCATTTATCATTTCATACCATTATAGTTTACTGCTCAATCTGGGCTGACCCCATTGATAGCAAAACTCATGAAATGGGAATAAGACGGGGAAGCGAATTGCTAAAGTTGGCAACAGCAGTGTTTCTAGCGCTTTTTTTTTAGTTTCAGCGACATCCGGAAGAGGGGTGATGGCTAGTCCAATAGAATATCTAATGTTGATTATAATTTTTTAAATCATGACTTCTCAGTGTATATTAAACACTACTAATCGTTTAATTTTAATAAAAATAAAATTTTAAATTACAGAATAGTATAGAATAAAATAATTTTTATTCAATATAAATTATTACATAGCCCTTATTGAAAACATTTTTTTTTAACTTAAAGGGAGATCGTATTTGCTGTGTTATATATAAGTTATATACATTTCAACCAGATCCAATAAGATTTTAAACCAGTTTTTTATTTTATTTTAACAGCCCTGATATAAAATGTTACAAGAGCTCAACTTCAATTAAATAATATTTTTTTAGCCGGAGAACCGTCCGTCAATGAAACAACTCTGCCGCCGCCACCCCATTCGACGGTCTCCGTAAGGATTGCCAGCCCGACAATAAAGATCCAAGAAGTTGGCAGCACTGTCAACTTCACCTGTGAAGCACAAAGCCGGTACACCAATAACGCACTGCCAGTCAACTGGACCAAGGTTGACGGGTACCTGCCTCTAGAACGGACATACATCAACTACAGAACTGGAGAGCTGCTCATAACGAATCTGCAGATCTCCGACAGTGGACAGTATATCTGTCAGACAAGCGATGGAATTTCCACTGGACAGGCTATTGCGACCCTCAAAGTGCCCGGTAAGGAAATTTACGTTTTACTGTTTCTGTTGAGAAATTTTAAATATTGTCCATTTGATCTCGATTGGTGATATATAAACATTTTTTTTAATTTATGCGATCCTTAACGGAATAGTTGTCCCGGATTGGGTGTTCCACGCGAAAGGTTAGACTCAATTTATACATCTAGCAGGAACAAAATTAGATTTCTACAACCAAGTTGTTTTTTTTTTTTAATAAACCTAACATGTTACAGGCAACGAGATGACGCTACCAACGGTGACAATTAGACCGACAATTAACGAATACTACGAAGGCGATAGAATCGAACTGGAGTGCCAGGCGACTGGCAACCCGGCACCGAGAATCACTTGGCAGAGAGCGTCCAACAGACCCTTACCGAGAGCCTCCCGCTATGATACATATTTCGTTATTGACAGCGCAATTGTGGAAGATTCTGGAGAATACAGGTGCTTATTTATTTAGAAAATTATTTTTATTTAGCTGATATATTTCTATCTTCATTCAGCCTATCTTCGGAAGTATAACGTCTCCCCTACGAAATATTTATTTATCAAGGACAAGCCCATCGCAAGACCGGAGGTGATTATTTCGTAGCGTCTTTATATATATATATATAACCTACGTATACATGCTCGTCGGTTAAGGTTTCTCCTAATTTGGCCCATCTGCAATATATCGCCCATTTGGTCTATAAACTTCGGCAAGTTCTTCCGTTGCCAATTCTGCCACCCACTTCTGGAGCATAAATTTGCTTTATTCTGACGAGCGTTCTGAATTCTGGATCGGAATATTTAAGACACGCAAGCGCACACATCGGTATCAGATAATGAATTATTTCAATTGACACTGCGAGCGGTAACAGCTAGACTTGTTGCGACTTGTGAAGTTTTCTTTTTATAGACGAAGTGGCAATCGAGCATGTGACTCACCTGACGGTGAATACAGCCACCCATGAACAACCGCAACACGAGGGGAATTGTATGGCACAGGAGTTGTAATGTAGAACTGACTTTCCCTTACTCTGTTCAGACTAAGAGGATGAAACCAGTGTATTCGTTTGTTTCTCTTTATTATTATTATTAATTCCTCTTCCATATTCGAGACGTCTGCCTGATCCGATAAACACAAGGCCACTGATTTATCTGAATTTTATGATATGTTTGAGGCAGCTTGTCGGAATTCAAATTATGAATTCCGACTAAGAATTCAGAGAGGCATTCTGGATGTGTGCCTCCAGCCTAAGACTCCTTATCTATGTAACTGACTTTGACTTTGTTTGCAGATGCATTGCCTCCAACGCCGTTGGTTCTACCGACCGCTCAGCCATCGTGAACATACGTCCAAGACCTTCGAGGCCCCAACGGGAACGGCTCACGGTCTCAACTCCCTCTGTCAACGTGACGGAGGGACAAAGCACTCGTGTTGTATGTACGGGAACCACTAACGTGCCAGCCGGTTCAATTGAATGGATCAGGTAATTTTATTTGGTTTAACCTTCACCTCGCAATACTAACCAGCCCTTTAACCGATCCGCTGCTAAGCATGGGCATTTGCTGGAATTTTTCTTTGGTGTGAGATTCAGCAGCTATATAGTTGTAGCACGAATGGATCTACTCGACCGGGGAAGGACCACGATCACACAGATACCAGTGTGAAATAGCATCTTAATGCGGCTGTGTTTCGTATGGTGAGTGTAGAGAAACGGAAACCCATTTTCCTAGTAACGAGGTAACGTATTAATCGATTAGATGTAGGTAACTATAAGCTAAAGCATTTACTTACCATTAAGTGGGCTGTGTGCTCGTTTATTACCTGTGCCCCGTGGTTTCACCCGCGTCATCACGTGTCTGAGGCGCGTGACATGACATTTAATTCAAGTATTTTAGATAGAAAGTATTTTAGAAAGAATTACATAATTTAATTCCACCCTCTTCCTTCCACCATCGGACAACCAGACGTTCGGCCAGTCTCCACCCTTTCGTTGTTGACTTACCACGCATTCGAACCAAACGGTTCGCCACGTCGTTCATCATGCGTACAGCAAAGGAGTGGAATAAGTTACCAGCATCTGTCTTTCCATCCGATTACAGTGTGGGTGTCTTCAAGGCAAGAGTGAATAGGCTTTTGTTAAGTCAGTGCGCTTCACCATCTTAGGCTCATCACCACTTACCATCAGGTGGGATCGTAGATAAGCGCTGGCTTATCTACGATCCCACCTTTTTAAAGAAGTTTTAAAGAAACCGTACACGATACGTAAAAAGTGTGTAGGTATGAAATGATTCTTGATAACTTTACTATATACATACAAAAGCGATATCACTTATAGTTTCCGCGCAATTTGCCACGAAATATGTACATTTTTTTATTATTTATCATTTTTTTTGTTCAAAGTTTAGTATAAAATATTCAATAGTTATAATGGTAAATAAAAAATGACTTACAATAAGTATTATGTAATAATCAATATTGAATAAAAGTCATTCTATTCTATTCTATAGAACTAACCTCGTTCGTAGAGTCTTTATTAAGCTGCATTAAGCCGTGATGGATTCACCATTCCACTCTTAATACAAAGAGATTTAAATATATAGGGCATAAACTTTTACCGTATTCCGTAAATAGGCTCTGCGAGCTAAAGCTAGATTTCAAGGACTGCTTACTGCCTGATAAATAAGTGTGACAACGACCTTGTAGATGTGATAGAAAGGGAAAAAAACATTTAATTTATTTTTTATATTTTTTATTTGCTAAATTGCATTTCATATCTACAGACAAGATGGCGCCCGTCTCCTAAACAATGTGCGGTCGGACAATGGCGTTTTGTACATCGACTACGCAACCCAAAACAACCAGGGTATCTACATCTGTCAAACCCTGTCCACCGATATTGTGCCGATACCAGTTGTGGTGACCATCATACCCATCGGCACACCATCACCAGCCGAAGCTTCCAATATTACGGTTTCTGTGAATCAAGTTAAGATCCCAACGGGCGGCAGTGGATCTGTGGATTGCAGTCCTCTTGGAAACCCGTTGCCTTTGATTAGATGGACGAAGGTAAGTCAAAATTTTAAGCTTCATTCTATTATTTGATGTATTAAACAATAAATTATTGGGATCTTTGGTACCTATCATTAATAAATTACTACATCACAACTAGTTTGAATTTGCTACTTCAGTTGTGTCTCAAAAACTGACTCTGTTTTTAATTTTAGTCGGCTTTAGATAAATTTTATTATCTGTGAACATGAAAATGGTGTATTTAAAAAAACTGACGTCATTTACTGCTTGTCCTTACAATTTCCAAGTTTCTTTTTCACAGCCGTAGAAACTGTTTCAATGAGAGCTAATAATTTTCCACTCACCTGATTGGGACTGAGGTGAAGTTATTTGTTACGCAAAGTCATTATGACTGAGAATTTGTGTTTTAAATAAAAGTATAATGGTGTCTAGAATATGTGAATATACAAAACAATGCCTCTTTAATTTTTTGCACATTTATAACTCTTTTTTTGTAATTTTTATACTTCTCTGAATATTTGTAGTTTAGTAGTTTCGTTTTATCCATTTCTATTTTAATTATATTTAGTTTAATTAATGTTTACACTTTTCTAATAATTTACTTTACCGCCATGAGATCTGTCAAATATTTCACCTCATTCCAAAGTGGTACCGCTCTGGTGGCAGGAGAAGTTGTGTTAGCCCTCATTGGCATGATCGTATAAAATTACTTGCCAAACGACTAATTTTCATGTCCTCCAATTAATTGCTTAGTACCAAGGCGAGTTCGGACCTGGTGTTAGCCAACGCGACCACACCCTCCTTATATCCAACGCTCAAGAAAGCGACCAGGGCTATTACCTGTGCGAAGGATCCGTCGATGGAACCCCTGTTGCCAACATTTACGTTTACGTCGAAATTGAAAGTGAGTATTTGTACATTATGCTTATTTATAATAAAATTATTTACACGTTTTGTTACATAAAATTGTACCTAATTTAATTTATACCTTATAACTTTTTTGTATCTATTATCAATATAATATATACTTTTAAATACTGAACCAAAAAAATTATAGTTAATTTTAATTCAAAAACCCAATTATACCTGATTACTTCATTATCAATAAAAATACTTACCTCAAATATACTACAAGTCTTTTCTCTCGTTCAGTTGGCCTCCTAAATCTTGAGTTTTCCATAGAAATATATGGTTTCATTATATATAGCAATTCTTGAAATTTCTTGTATGTTAAATGCAAATATCAAAAAAAATCGTTCATTATGATTTAAAAAATCTTTAAATAAAATATAATATTCTCCATACAATTGCCTTTTTAAAATAATATGAATCCAGAATCTTCTTTATCTGAGAATTTTATTTTATTTTTCCTGGGCCAATAAGTAATTGGCTCAGGAAAAACAAAATAAAATTGGAAATGGAAAAAAAAATAGTAATAGCCTGCTAGGCTATAACTATATTCTTTTCTATAATGATTCAGAGCAATCAATGTCACTGTACTGTTACACACCAGTGGTTGGAAAAAACTGCATGGCAATACAAAATATGGCGTACGGCGCGGACGATGCGTACGTGCAAATGTGCGAGGTAGTGTAGATGTCTAGTATAATTTAATATATGACTGTAGTATAAATTAATATACGATGAACACACATGAGCCTTATGGAGTTAATAAATAAAACTAGATTAACGCTCATATTACTACGTTCTTTGACATATTTAGGAAATGGGTTCCATTTTAAAGTTTGCGATTGTATGTGCAATAACACAACCATTAATCGACCAACACAGACGAATATTCTTTCATTAAGAATGAGTCGTCTAACATCTTTGATGGTTCCGTAGCACAGTGGTTTAGCAATGAGTTGTAACTATTGCTACACTGAGGGCTGCGGGTTCGAATTACGAGTATTTGTCCTACAAATAATTATTTCGGGTCTGTGTTTATCCTTGTGAAATATATGGTTGTAAACTGCCCCTACGATATAGGCGAAAATTCTAGTGTAGAGGTAACAATTAAAAAAAATCTAAACCCTTTATTTTCGGTGCAGAGCGTGAAAAGCCGCGCGTGGAGATCTGGCCGCAGGGCGAACAAGCGGTCGCCTTGGGCGGGCGTTTCGACCTGATGTGTCGCGTGATGGCCGGTGCTCCTGAGCCGGTGGTAATGTGGTCAAGAGGAGGGGCACGTGCACTCTCCCCCCACGCACAGATAAAGCCGCAGCACGTGCTCAGGTAGGTCACACTCCGAACATTTGACATAAACTTTAAACATGTTTGTTGTGCGGCGTCCAGTCGCACTTGTCCCAGTATCACTATGCACGCTCTCAAACAAGCACGGTTAAAGCCGCAACACCTGGACGAACACGCACTTACCCCGGTATCACTATGCATGCTTCTCAAACAACCACAGTTAAAGTCACAGCACGTGCTCAGGTACGGCTGTCCAAATCCGAACATTTGACACGAGCTGGATGAACACGTTCATTAAACTGCGCCCAGCAGCACTTGCTCTGGTATCTCTTTACACACTGCTCAGGTATGACAAATCGTCCAACTCCAAACATGAATGAACCGCGCCTCTACGCATCAAGTAGATTTAAAAGAGTAGCAACTTTTACCCAGTTATCCTATGCACGCCCTCCAACAGGCGGTTACAGCTGCAGCATATGCTCAGGTACGACTGCGTATACAGGCTAATCGTCGAACTCCGAACATTGGACATCAGCTGGACAAACATATTTAGACAAACACGCTATTGCCAATATCGCACACTCCCACATACATACATAGTCAGGAACAAAAACCTTTGAGTGGGCACTTTCAAGAACCACGCTTCTTCGAAGAGCGCTAATGCAACCGAAACATGTGATTAGCTATTGTTGACGCCGTCAACCACCCATCCATCCGTCCATCACAGTCTATAAAAGTCCACTGCTGAACATAGGCTTCCTCCATAAATATTGGAGGGATTCTGCACTAGTTGCCACGCCTGGCAGGCGGGTTGACAACCGCGGTTTTTTATTATTTTGAGTTATTATTAGGAAGATGCTGTTTCGGCACGCCTCGGTTGTCCTTTACGACATCCACGGGACGATATGGGGTAATGTATATTCTCACACCGCCACTACCCAGCAAACGCTAAGACGCTTCACGAAGGTCCAACCCAAACTCCAAAAATTCACCACAAGCAATGCGGACATTTCGAATCTACAAACTGCGACATCAAGGGTCCTTAATATAGCGTCAATACTTGCTCAAGTATCACTATGCACTTTTTGAATTTTTGGCGTCATTATCTGACTTATTTTAGGAAGTAATAATGTAATTATACTATTACTTCCTAATTATAATATTACTTATAAGACGGCTATGTGGCGCAATGTCTTGGCAATGAGTTGCAGCTCTGAGGGCTGCGGATCAAATCCGGAACAAGTATTTGTATGGCCTACAAATAATTGTTCCGGGTTTGGATGTTTGTCCTTGTGCAATTTATGTACGTAAACGATACAGGAGAAAATCCTAGTGTGGAGGTATCGTTAAAAAAAATAAAAGCAAGGAATTCTTTATATTATCTAGAGTTATTTAATCAAGATGAAGGTATAAACCTGTAGTGAACTATTTTTATACCGCAATTTTATAATAATTGTTCATTCATAACAGTTTCGAGAATATCGAGGTGAACGACGAGGGAGAGTACATTTGTACAGCGACCAATGACGCGGGCATGTCCAGTGCGAGCGCGGTGCTCAAAGTCCGATCCCCACCGGAGATCATCATCACCCCTAGCAACTTCGTGCAAGTGGTCCACGGTGATCCTATCAACGTGGAGTGCCGTGCCAACGGATACCCACAGCCTATGGTTTCCATTAAAAGTGAGTTCAAATAAATTTATAAGATTTTTTTTTAAATAATAAGAGTGACTACCGAGCACACATTCCACCTGATTTACCATCAGGTGGAATGTGTGGCTAATGTGACCCAAATAGACATTACATCTATCCTCGATTAAGAATCAAAATACAGATGTGTTGTCCCCCTGATGACTAAGATGGAATGCCTCGTTTGCAGTTTAAAAAGGGTCTCCGGTTCTCTACACTCACCATACGAAATACATCAGCATTAAGCTGCTATTTCACGCTGGTATTATGTGAGAGCGTAGTTCTTCTCCATAATACAGATGCAGCGTAGTTCTACTGCGTACGACAAACTCTTAATTTTGGAATATCCATGTAAAATAAATTTTAAAGCTTTTATTTGAGTTTTTATTATATAATCTGAATGTAGGTGTCGTAAGAGGCATTCAAATAATAACTCTTAATTTTGTAATCCAGAGAGTCGAGAACTTCGGGAATTGATGGCGCCAGCCCTAGGAATCGCCGCGCTCCGAGTCAATTCAGCGACAGACCGCGATGACGGCGAATACGTTTGCACAGCGACATCTGCCGCCGGCACCATAGACGAACAGTTTGCAGTACGTGTAGACAGAGGCGACGGCGGATTTGGTGACAACGGTCAGCTTTTTGTACTTCCCCATTGATTTTATCTTAGACTAGCGATCCGCCCCGGCTTGTGAATCTAAACCATTCCGGGATGCACACAAATAATTACGGCAAAATCGTTCAAGCCGGTTTGGAGTTTTAGCGATTAACGGACATCAATTGATTTTTATAATGTACAGGGTTACTTTTCAAAGACTAGCCAAATTTTATTTTTAACTTTAAATAGAAAGATATTGATATACCGTTATTGCAGTTTTTGAAAACACGAGTAAATAAGGCTTCTATTTTCATTTGAAATTATCCCAAATTGAATGTGATTTATGGGCACCAACTAACCGTATGTGCGCATCAATCATTCTCGGTGTGATTCAATTCACAACGTTTTTGCAGACTGAGCAACCCTCACGAACGTGTGTATGCGTAGTTAAATAGTAGATTACCACACATTCTGAAATTAAAAGATAAAGAGAACAGAATTTTTGAGATTTTTTTTAATAAAGCATTCTTCACCATTCGCCTACATTACTTATTCTGAACCTCCTCTGCAAATTTGGCTGTATATTGCAAAATAAACCTTACGGTGTACTCGTTTCTAAAAATAAAAGATTTTAAATTAAGAACGCGTTAAAATCTATAAAATTATTTTCCCATGCCATGATTTTTAAATTCTGGTATTGTTCCAGAGGGCAGCGGTGAAGGCGAAATAGACATAGACAAAGGGTACGATTATGACAACAGACCCACAAACAGTATCGCGATCGAAGGCAGGGATGCCAGGATTAGGTATGCAATTTAAAATATATATTATATAGAGATATGATAGAGACTATCGGTCCGTGGAATTCACGTGCGATGAAGTTCCTAAAGGAACTCTATCGACCCTCTGAAGACCGCCTAATCACCAGCAGTGACTAGTTGTCGCTGCTGGTGATAAGAGGGCTGGTTGTTTTCTCGCTCAAAGTCTAGGTATAGCCAATCAGAGAGGAAACACAGCCAGCTTTCTTGGCATGATACCACGGAGAGTTTTAGTGCTCTGTTTTTTATAATTCTATTATATCCACAGTTGTAATGCATCCTCCGAGTTCGAAGTGAGATGGCGCAAGGCTAACAGGAGACCAATGGGTTACAACGTAAACAACAGAGGCTCCGAGCTTATTATCAGAAATGTAAGTTTTTATTCACAAATTTTAAAAATGCACCGTAAAATCTAAAAAAAATCTGATTGAAATAAGTTTTACAATACAGAGTTCATTCGTTTATTACACACTCAGCCATAGATTGCCGCATAGGAAAGATTTTTCCATAGCTCTTAAAGCTGTTACGGCTCCGTGGCGCAGTGGTTTTACAATGAGTTACAGCGCTGAAGGCCACAGGTTTGGATTCCTCACGATACAAGTGTTTATATGGTCTACAATTAATTGTACCGGGTCTGAACGTTTGTTCTTGTGTAATTTTATGCGTTTACTTAAATTCCGTACTTAGATTTTATTTAAAAGTTTTACTATTTATTTTATTTATTTGTCATCTCGCTTGAAAAGCATGGTAATTTTAGCCCAACACTAGAACTTTTCCTGTGTTGTGGAGGCGGTTTACATACATAAATAACACCAGAATAAACTTTCACACCCAGAACGCCACGAACCCGTAAGAACTTCGAAATAGCTATGGGAAAATCTTTCCTATGAGGCAATATATGGGTGAGGCTGTATTAAGATAATGTAGTACTTATGACTGATGTTCTACAACGTCAAAAACTTACGAATAATCGGAATTTGTCAACGACACAAGGTGTGCTCGCAATATTGGAGGCTCTCACTAGTCCTGGCCTGACCGGGCTAAATTAATGCTTATGGGAAAGGATCGAAAGTTCATTATTCAGGATCAGAGATACGGTAATAATCACAACACACAGAACCAAATACCAATAATTTGAGTTTTTGCACAAATGTTTGTTCCAGCTAGGATAGGAACCCAGGAAGCATTTGATTATTACTGTAAATCGCTTCATGTAACTGCAGTAGTGGGACTAATAAGGTTGCAAGTATAATTTAATAAAAAATCTGGAGATTACAAATCAAATACGCTCATTCATTTATTACAGCCTATTAAAAGTCCACTCCTAAACATAAGCCGTCTCCAGAGATTGCCCCAGGAGAATTTTGCCATAGGTGTCACTCATGTCTGGTGTCTATCTCATGTTTCAGTTTCCCTCTGTCGGCTGTTACAACACCCATGAGACGATATGAGGGTAGTAATTTGTCTTTCGCCGCTGTACACGTAAAAACAGGCTCATCATTCATCATCATCATCATCATTACAGCCCTTCACAAGTCCACTGTTGAACATAGGTCTCCCCCAAGGAACGCCACAAAGCACGTCACTGAGCCACCTGCATCCATTGACTTCCTGCATGCCTTACCAGGCCGTCCCTCCATTTAGTGAATTCTCTTTCGCCGTATACGCCAAAACACGCTTACAAATATTAAAATAATTTTTTTTACAGGCATCGAAAGCGGATTCAGGCGTATACGAGTGTCTTCTTGTGAACCGGTATACCGGCGAAGTCCAGCACGCAACGGCAATCAACCTATCAGTAATGGCGGCGCCCACTATTACCCTGAGACCTCTCACTCAAACCGTACAACCTGGTCAGTCGCCAACCGTCGAGTGTGTGGTCAGCGGTGACGATATACTGGACATCATTTGGAAGCCTGTCAACAGGCAACCGTCGAGGTTTGTTTATGCGTTCATTCCGAATACTTTAAAGCCAAGTATCAAAAGTCCAAATATAGGCCTCCCTAATAAATTTTCTCATAGAGGAGATATTTGGCATATTTGCCACGCTTGGCATGCGGGTCGACCACCGCAGATTATTATTTTTCAATAGTTATTAGAAAGATGCTACCGCTCATCTCCTTGTTTGTTCATCTCTGTCGCCTCTTAATACACCCACGGAACGATATGGGTTACTTGTTATTTATACACCGCCACTACACGGTCAGAGTATTTAGTTGTTTTGTCAATTAATTTATTAATTTGTGAAATATCGTAATAAAAAGGAATAGCACTAAGTGGACTTAATGCCATACGACTTAATACTACTCCCAGTAGAACGTTCCATTTTTGTCCTTACAAGTTGCCAACGTATCTGTAGCCTTTTTATTTGAAGTTGGTTCCATGTTTGTGTTCATCAGTCGCAGCCAACACTTACCATCAGGCGCACTGAAAACACGTTTGTCGATAATAACTTGAAAAGTATAAGAGTAATGTTAAAAGAAATGTGACTTTTGGGTCCAAATCTCAAGAATTACTTTGCTTCGCATTGTTCTCGCAGTTCGTGTTTTAAAGTTTGGTATTTTGCATAATATGCAATCTAAACTGCATTTAATTAATATTTCTTTTTATCTAAATTGTTGTTTATTTTTCTTAAAATAAATAATGATAAGTCTGTCATAAAATTGACATTTGGAAAGTGAAGGTGTCATTAAATCTAATGCCAAACTGAAATCCTAGAAACCTAGAAATAGTTAATGGGAATGTAAAAAATAATATGTCTGATGGCTTATTCTTGCAGAAGCCAGCAAAAACAAAACAAGTAAGTTTATTTTAGTGAGGCTGGAAGTCCGATTAAATTTGTTTACATTTTTTTCCGTTAAAACTAAAAGTTTACACGTTCAACGGTATTTAACTTTAATGTATACATAATAACATTACCTAAGATTAGATTCTAAATATACACTTGATAATAGCAAACAAATGATCACACTTAGAACGTATAGTAAATGATACTCAATGATACTTTCAGTCGCGTTGAGATCCGAGGTTCGACTCTGATCTTCCATCAAATCGAAGTAGAGGATGCCGGCCAATACGAGTGTTTCGCACGCAACACGTTCGCTAACGCGTCCGCAGTTGCCGAGGTCATAGTCAGCGGTAAGTCTGCTCACCCCACCTAATACAATGACGCTTGAAGTTAAACCAAAAACAGCACGTAGACAGTACACACTGAATTTTAGATAGGAAACAGCACAGAATACCAACAAGAACGCTTATAACACCGTGTACAGGATGCACCTTGCGGCACCTGTGCTTAGAGTAAATATTGCATACACACACTCGGTCTAGAGCTAGAATGGACGATATGGAGTGGAATTTAAATCTAGTAATCTATATTTAGAGTTAGACAAAAAAAGACATTAGAGAGATTAAACAAAAGTATTGAAACTAGAACTTTTCAAGATATGTTATCATTTCGATGAGTAACTTCTTGTTTACCGTAGAATAATTTACTGCGTTGTGAAGCGCGAACGAAAAGTAATATGAACTGACAATTATTGCCTGAACACGGGGATAGAAGAGAAAGGGTGTATCGAATGTCCCGTTCTTACGTTTTTTTTTAATTCTTGGCGCGACATGTATTTTATCTTACCTTTATCTGCATCCATATTTTCCATTCCGGCTGGCGGCCGTAAGTTTTTCCACCACTCAAATGAAACGTTTGACAGATATATCTTAAACGCTTATGTTGACTGCATGTGATAATGAAATTCCTAGAAGAGAGTGACGGGGCCATGTTGGAGTCGCACGATAACGAGCAGACGGCCCACGTTGGTGCCGCCGTACACCTCAGCTGCAACGTCACCCAACCGAACCTACGCATCCGATGGACCAAAGACGGAATGACGCTTCCAAGATCCGCCAGACAGAAAAACGACGGATCCCTCTTCATCCGTCTCGCGCAGAAATCGGACAGCGGACGCTATATTTGCATCATAAACGATGAATACGGCAGGCAGACGAGCAATTACATCAATCTACACATCGAGGGTCAGTTATAGTTCAAACGAGTTCGTAGTTGGAGCTTAAACAAGTGTTCGCGTTACTATATCCCCCTTCATTGCTTAAGGCAGCGGATAACTTGGGCATGCTTAGCCTTTATCCATTTTCTCTGTTTTCTTCTTTCTTCTTCTAACTATTACTGTGTTGGCTTAGTTTTACATTTTAATACGTAATTAGTGTGTATTTTGGAATACTTTTTGACATTTTTATTCTCACGTAAAGGTAATGAATGCTTGAAAACTCAATTTCGTTGTAACGACGACACCGGTTGCATAGACGAAAAGCTGCTATGCGACGGATTCAGCGATTGTCAGGATTCTAGCGACGAGGAGAACTGCCTTGTGAAAGATGATCGTTTCCCGGAAACTCTCACGGACACTTACCTTAACGCCGCTGGTAATTCTGGTGGGGGGAAAGGGTTTTGGGGTTGTTGTTCGTGCTAGGAGTCGTGTTCAGTCGGTGCGGGTGTAATAACAATTGTATTGTATAGCATTGTGGTTATGTGGCGGAAATATTATGGGAACACATAAGCCCAGTTCAAAGGTAGTATACAGTTTAGAAACACATTTGATGTCAGGCAATGCCACGCCCGTATAGGTATTTACTAATTATGCCGTCCTGAGCGAATATGCTAGGGTTTTCACAAAATTTGAAAAATAATTTTCTGTACCTATCTATGTAATAAATCACTGTTCAGTGTTACCAGATGAAAAAACTACCATGGCAGCTGCCTAAATTACCGTGTTTTATTTTTAAATTACAATGTATATTACAGTGTACTTTTTTTTATTAGATATAAATTTTTCTTCCAAAAGAACCAAGAAGTGGAACATGGTCATAAATTGACGAAGTCATTTTTGTAATTATGTCTTTTGATGGTATAACATTAACACAATCTCTATTTCCGTAAATAGATTGCTGAAATAGTGTTTCCATTTATAGTCGTCGTAATCGGTATATTTCTTTTCTTCGTTTTGATGAAATTTACTTGACTGAACACACTCTCACATACAGCAATGGAGTGGGGCAAGGAGAGAATGTTCACCATAAATTTAAAATTCATATACATTTTCTCCACTTTGGTCCTTCAGCTGAGCTATCTGTGAACAATGAAAACATTACTTTACTGTGTGTTAACCAAGAAAGAGGCGATCAAAATAATTTAAAATTAATAAAATAATATATAATCACTCATATTTGAAATTTATTGTAAAGCTCACCTTTTTGCTCAGCTTTTGTTATTTTGGAGGATGTTGTACCAGTTTCAGTATCAGTCTAACTAGTCTTAGTATCACTGTCACTTTTTTCATCGTTGCCCAATATGATCTCGTATTGTACGATTTTGTAAAGTAAAATAACATTTTATGCACCAGCAAACAGAAAAAAATATTTAAAGAAGTATAATTCCATTCATTCATTAATATACTACTCATTTTAATATAAGTTATACAAAAGAGAAAACCACTTCTAGAAATTTTTTTTTTAATTTGGTTGTAATTTTTTACCTGACAAGCAATGAAATGTTTAAGGATTTCCCGAATAGTGGCGGCCGGTGTTGCTTATTAAGTTCACCTAATTAGAATATGCGTTTTGTTTTACGCAGTTTTTAAAATTTGCATTTACGCTAATTACCGTGTATCTGGTAACACTGCCACTGTCCACGGCCGTCGTTGTTCTGCACAAGCATATTCGTTTCACAACTGTTATGCTCTCTTTTAACTGTGAAATAACATATTTTATAAACGTGGAGTCTTGTCTCTGATACCAGCCTTTTGGCCTCGACGATCATTCTCCTAACGAAACAAAAAAAAACATTGTTATTGTTTTGTGTGTTTTCTTTGTATTGTAAACAGTTTTTATGTGTTTTCGTTGCATACTCAAGAACCAAGTATATGTTACTTTATATGCTTACATTTAACAAAATTGAGCAATACTTTGAAATTGTTTGTAAATGTTATAATCGGTGTTAAATTCGTTTATACAGTACATATAGCTATATTATATACAAAAACCTTAAATGTGAAGTGGTACAAAACAGGCTAGCACATTTACCTTATCACTGACTTTATATTTGAGTGTATTAACGAATCTGACATGGACACATATCGAACTTGTGTTTATTAATATCACATATATGTGATATATATTATAGATATATGATGGTATTTTAAAAGTATTTGTGTAGTGTTGTGCTTAGCATGTGTATATTTTTCTATGTTACAGGGTACATGTTGATCGCTTGCATGTTTGAGCTTCTATATGTAGAATCGATTCGTAAAAATATGTTTTACCGTTATATTCTCTGTGTGGTTTTGAATTTGATTTTCGATTGTTCTATTTCAACTAGATGAAAGTTTGTGTATATTGTAGGACCACGGGAAGAAGCACCAGCACTAGTCGCTATTGAACAACCCAGAAGGCAATACAGAGTTGGGGAGAATGTGGAGGTTATGTGTAAGAGCGTATCTAGGGACACCAGGGTGACCTGGGAACGATATGGCACCAATCAATATGTAGAATCAAGGGTGAGTACGATGTTTTGATTTATAAGTATAATAAAGACTAGCAAAATATTTTTATAAACCTTTTAAAATAAAATAAAAACATGCGTGAGTGTCGTGGACAACTCGGTTGGAACTTCGTTCAGTGTTGAATATACTACGAAATAGTATATTATTATTAAACGTATTACCTATATTATTGATTAACAAATACAAGTAAATGAATTACTAGCGTCTATTAAAAAGAAGCGTCGTTTAAAATAAAATAATATTTCTTTCATGGCAAGATAAGAAAAAGTGCGAGGGAGATTGATATGATTCTATCTCGCTTCGATTTCTTCTTAAGCCGTCAAAACCGACTACACTACGTCAGAAGGGGTCTTGATAGAAACATCTTACACTTTTTCTCGCCTAGCTCTCATCCGCTAAATTCATACCGTGCGATAAGGAACTTCGTTCCAAAAATTAAAAATCTTTAAAGTGAAACTTTGGATAGTATTTTATTATATGACTCCTCGGTTAACTTATACTCACGCCGCTACAATATTTAGGCCAATCACAAGCGGCATTTCCGTGGCGCGCTTCTTCGTAGCATAGCTGTGGCTCCGTCAGCATAGTGACACTATTTACGAGGATGCTTGGAAATTATAGAAATATTATCACTGATCATGCTTATGAGGTTTTATTTGCACATACTAGCCGAGTATAAAGTCTTACAATAGTAGTAGTAGTACAATAGTAGATGTTAATGCGGTTTAGTTACACACACTTGAGAACTCCTTGTGCCGCAATAAAATACGCGAACTTTAAGATATTTATTTACTGCTTTGTGTGCCTTCTTGTTTATGTATATACATTTTTACTAACTCGCTTTCGTGTATGTCTGTTCGGATCGAATTTAGTAATTTATATGAAACTAACTTTCCGATGAGTTTGAGTCTTGAAATTTCGAATATAGCTCAGAATCGTATGACAATGTAGGAATATGAAAAAAAATATTTTATACTTCTTAGGCTGTTTTGAAAAAGATGTACATAAACTTGTTATGAAATTGAAGTGTTTCACAGTGTCAGCATTAAGTGCAATTTTACACGTCCTCAAATTTAAAAACATAAATTGTTTATTTTAGACGTATGGTGACGGCGCATTGCTGCTGTTGCAAGGTGTTGAGGAATCCGACGCTGGATTGTACAGGTGTACTGGACGCGACCCTTACGGAAGGACATTCTACGACGACTTCAACCTAGTGGTTGTACCTGGTAATTTTTAATAATTTAGTAATTGTAAACAATTGTTAAAGCTTTAATTTATAAAATGCCCCGTGGGTCTCATAAACATTTAATGAAGGAACTGTCTATTCATATGATAAGCGAACGATTGTTATTTTGTTCTTATATATACGATTATTAAATATATAAAATACGATATTGAAAGAATAGAACTTTTCAATTTTAAAAATTATTATCATACGCATAAGTATTATTTATTTATACGATTATCGTACGAATTATTATTTTTTAATCAAATAATAACGTATGATTATCAACAGTCTTTAATAAATAAAGATTAATGCAAAGTGCAATTTTTCTTGTGTAACGAATATATGAGTATAATACAATCAGTTTATTCAATATTGATTACATCTAATTCTTATTGAAAGTCATTATTAACTTCTACCACTGGTTCGGAAAAAAATCTCTGTCATGTGAAGAACCAGCAAGAAATCCAGCGGGTCTTTTTTTAAAGCATAACTTACAATATAATATTAATACAATTGTTATGAAACCATTTAGAAACAGCGTGGTAGCGATCACCTCATTCCCAGGGGTTATTATCAGTCATATACTCTTTAGTAGTATAATAACCCTTGCTAGACAATTTTTGCTTAATAAATATTTTAAACCTTTTGATAGATGAGGTCTGCACATTTTCTGGGACTATGTTGTAAAAGCGTATACATTGCCCCATGAAGGAATTGCTGACTCTTTGGAAGCGAGTAACCGGTATAACTACGAGTAACTTGTTCTTGTTCCTAGTATTTACAGAATGTACATCACTATTTTAAATAAAACATTTTTTTTTAGTACATACTTATAATTTTCTTTTCGTTGAATATATCATGATATATCATAAATAAATATATTATGGGTGGTGCTGTGGACGACCATCAGGTGGCGCTTTTGTTCTTATTACCGCTACCGTTACAGCCTATCCAAAGTCTAGTGCTAGACATATATGCTATGAGGCAATTCTATGGGGGCCGCCCCATTGTTATTGGAAAGAAATTGCTGCACAATTTCTAAATATACTATATCAGCCCTGCTAATAAAATAATATCATTTATTGGCGGAGTAAGAATATCTACTACCACCCCACATCGTCGCGTGGGTGTCATAAGAGGCGACAGAGGGAAACAAACTAGGAGATGGACAACAGTGTCTTTCTAATTTATAATTAGAAAGATACTGTTGTCCATCTAATTGTTGCTTTCTAATTATAAATTAAAAAAAAAAACTGTGATTGCCAACTCGCCTGCTAAGTGTAGCAACTATAGCAAACATCTGCATTCATCAGGTATTGGACTTTTGATTGGTTGAACGATAACGGTTATAAAAGAATAGATACAGATCCGATAAATTTGAAATACAAACCAAAGAATTTTTCATAACATAATACATAAACACTCACACATTTGGCACAAATCTAACACACCTCTCTCCCCTCCTTTACATCCATATACCTACACTTACATGCTCGTAGGTTAAGGGTACTCTCAATCTGGCCTATCTTCAATATATCTCCAATTTGTTCGATAAACTTTCGTCTAGGGCGTCCCTTCCCGATTCTGCCGTTCACTTCTGCAACATAGATTTGTTTATCACTTTTTCCTCGTTCATTCTGTCTACATGACCAAACCACCAAAGCATTCCTTTCTTAATCCTGGTCACAACATCATCTTTCAAACAACACTTCTCTTATCACTCAATTTCTCACCCTGTCATTCAGATACCCTAACATACTCAAAACAAAATTTTATTGGTTTTTATTTTTATTTTATAATTTGTTCCTACATGTTTGTATCTCGTTTCAGGCTCGAACAATATGGCATACCCCATTGACAACCGTCCCCAAGCTTACACTGCCCGCCTGCACGACTCCGTGAGTCTCCCTTGCAACCACAACCTGGAGCTGCCTGTTTCTATCGAATGGAGCAAGGAATACTCTCAGCTGCCCCCCAATGTTAGGCCCAACGACGTGAGTGAATTATCGAAATCACAGAATTTGGTGTAAATTAATAATGGAGAGCCGTAGCGTAGCTCGGCGGAGAAGGGAAAACATTTATAGAATAAGGGTGACAAACGAGCATATAGTCCACCTGATTGCCCATCTGATGGTAAGTGGATGTTGTGGCACATAGACGTCCTCAATTAAGAATCAAAATGAAGATGCGTTGTCACTAAGAGTAACATGGAATGCCTCGCTTCCACTAAAAATTATCTCCGGTTCTCTACACTCACCATATGAAACCCAAGTATTGATTTCTCTTACGAACCGGATCATTTTGTGTTACAGTACTATGTAATCTGTGTGATCCGCTCAATGATGTTGGTCGTCGGACATTACTTGGTCATGTCAATCGTTTGATCCGGAACATTCAAAAAATTTAATTAAATTCAGCAATACTTTGATACGATCCGGGGGTCAAATGAACGAATCATTCACTATTGACACATGTCTGTGAAGATTCGGGTTCGAATATTGAATGGGGCTAAAAAAAAAGCAGTTATTGAGTTTTTCTGTCAAGAGATTCTCAATAGCAGTCATAGCTCTGGAACTTGGCGGTGTTTCATCCTCGTGCCCTGGAAAGGACGTAAAGTCGTTATTTGTCTCTCTGGTCGTGTCGGATTACTGTCCCATTGGACTATGAGAGTGAGCGATAGAGTGCACCTGTGTGAATAGAGAGTGCACTTGCGCATACACTCGGGCACTATGATTCTGTTCTGCGCAGTAGGCTGGTTCGTTAAGATTGGCCGCCGTGAATGAAATTTAATCTGGGTGACATTATGAAAGTGATTTTGTTAGGACTATTTACGTTAGTTTTCTTTTTGTTTCTAATCTGTAACCTTAGTCATTAGGCTACTGTCGATTAAAGATCAGCACAGAAAAGAGACTCTTCCATCTAGCTTAAACTACATCCTACTAAAGTATTTAGTGTTGCAAATATAGCAACGCAGCCCTGCGTTCTTTGCACTTTACCGCGGGGAATAGGACTGTATGATAATTTAAGTTTCTATTTTTAATAAATATTGTTAGTTATTATGTTATATAAATAAAGTTGAGATATTTTAAAAATATACTGTATTTAATGATAAACTGTACTTAAAAAGGAACCGTGTAGTAGTAGCGGTGTAAGAATATCCACTACACTATAATATCGTTCCGTGGGTGCCTTAAGAGGCTACAGAGAGAAACTGAAACAGGAGATGGGCAGCAGCATCTTCCTGATAACAACTCAAAATTATAAGAAACCCATCTTGTAAAGCTGCCTGCCAAGCATGGCAACTATGCCAAAACCCACTATGAGTTACTATGGAAGAGGCCTGTGTTCACCAGTGGACTGTTTACAAGTTGTAAGACGCCGTACTATTGCCATCGCTCGCGCGATCCTGTGTACGTCCGACGAAAATGATTGTGCGACCGTGCGTTCAAACATACTCATATCTGCCGAATGTCCTATTGAAGGTCGTGCGATCATACGATGCGACCGAATTGTCTAATTTTCGTTGTGCGATCATCGACGCATCGTATACATCCGATCAAACGTACTAATCAGTACTGAATGTCCTAGTGGTGCTCGCGCTATCAAGTGCTCCGCCGCTTCGCGCGATCAAGTGGCGGAGGCAAAAGAGGGGTTTTCGTAAAAATATTTATCGTTTTGCCGTACGTCGTAATACTGATTGTGAAATTCACCGCTTTGATTTCTGTTTTTATACAGTATATTGTGTGGTGTACGTGTTCTTTTTTTATTGCTATTCACTATTAAAGAATATTGCTCGACAGCAAAAACTGTGCATCTCTGTTACGAGCTATTTCGAGAGTGATCGCATCGCTCCAAAATAGGACACACGATTTCTAATCGTGCGAGCCGATTCATCGGACGATGAAATCGCATCGCACCATCGCACTAGCAATGGCAATAGGACGGCCGGCGCCTAATAGATGGATTATGATGGATTTAAAAAATAACTAAAGTACTTATTTTATAAATTGTTTTCTTGCAGCCGGTACTAAATCTGGACAGCGTAACTGAATCGGACGCTGGAACATACATCTGCAGAATAAGCAACAGCCGGGCCGCGATAGAAACGCGCGCCATCTTGCGGGTCACCGGCGTAGTTCCCAAGTTCAACGGCGATGGTTGGATCTCGTTGCCCACTCTCAAGGACGCCTACATGCAGTTCGATATCGAGATATCGTTCAAACCTAACGGTAATTATTTACACACATCTGTACCATACTTGCAAAATTATAATCTTATTAGTTTTGTTTGAGACTTATTTTTTGCCGTGTAGTGGCGGTGTATATCACTACCCCATTTTATCCCGTGGTTGACGTATGAGGAGACATAGAGAAACAAATCAGGTGATGGCCAGTAGCGTCTTCCTAATAACGATTAAAAATAAAAAAACTGCGGTTGCCAACCCGTTTGCCAAGCGGTGGAATTCTATGTTTAGCAGTGAACTTTAATAGGCTCTAACAGCAGTTTTGTATGTCAAGGTGATTTGTATCAGTTATAAATATTTGGATGTAGTTCATCAAATAAATAGAAGTGTTCCATTAAGATATTGATTATCGATTTTTTTAATAATCGATTTTGGAAATTATCTTATATCGACTTTGCTATACATAAGACTTGACTTGACTTGGCGGCTCCGTGGCGCAGTGGCTTAGCAATCAGTTGTTGCGCTGGGGGCCGCGGGTTCGAATCCCGCACGGAACAAGTATTTGTATGGCCTACCAATAATTGTTCCGGGTCTGGATGTTTGTCCTTGTGCAATTTATGTTTGTAAACTGCCTCCACGACACAGGAGAAAATCCTAGTGTGGGGGTAACGTTTTATAAAAGAAAAAAAAATATACATATATTTGAAGTCAGTTTCTTAACAACTCTTTTTCTCATTGAATAACTTTAGTTATTAATAAAAGTTGATAAATATGGCAACTAAAAAGTTACAAACGTTAAATTTGTGAGTAAAAGGGCACTGGTATAACATTACTGAGTAGAATTTTGATTTCTCTCCTTTCTTCCAGACCCTAACGGCTTGATTTTGTACAACGGTCAAAACGACGACCGCACAGGCGACTACTTGGCACTTCAACTCATAGACGGCGTTCCAACATTCTCATTTGATACAGGAAGTGGCCCACTTTCAGTATCGGGCGACCGTCCCTTGCAACTCAACGCTTGGCATACTATCCGACTCAGCAGGACCAACTCTAAAGGTAAACTGTTTCATTGCCTTTATTGGATACTTTAACGTCATTTCAAATTAATGGATGACATTAGGACATTTTTATACGTGGTAGAGCTACGCTGCAGCGATATTATGGTTATAGCACGAATGTGCCGGCTGGATCGGGTAAGGACCATTCTCTCACTGAATACTAGCGTGAAATATCAGCTAACGTGTTTAATTTCGTAAGTGTAGAGAATCGGAGAGCTTTTTTTTTACCGATAACGGGACTTTCCATCTTAGTCTTCATGAAATTACGTCTGAATTTTGATTCTTAATCGAGGGTAGATGTATATTAGATGTCTAGTGTGGGCACAGCGTCCACATACCATCAAGTGCACTGTGTGCTCCGATGTCACCATAAATAAAAAAAATCCAAGGTCAGGAGATGAACATTCTCCTAAGTCGGCTCCTACGATACCGAGCAATTGAATGTAATTAATTTATTTTTAAGAATTGAATGATTTTTTTTAAATTATTTATTTAAGTTATAATAAGGCAAGGTATCAATGTGTAAGGCGAGCGATACGTACCCGGCCTGAAAGTAGAAAGTGAATGTAAGTAGAAGACGACTCCCTCCCCCTTTACGCGTCCATCGTTAATGCGTCGCTTGCGTGAACTGTTATATTGTGAACCTCTTAAAGTCGAGGATTTGCTGTAACTTAAATGCTTTTTAACCGACTTCAAAAAGACGGAGGCTCTCAATTTGAGTTTGTTTTTTTTGTATGTATATTACGCGATACCTTCGCAGATTGTGAACTGATAACAATGATTTTTATTAAATAGACTTTACCTCAAAGGTGGTCCCATTAAATTTTGAAGAAAAAGCAATCGATAGTCTTCGTCATAAAAATGGATGCGACTTTAAAAAATCCTTAAAGTTGCTCTCTCGCTTTCTACTAAATGACAATAGAAAGAGACACGTATAGATAGATAATTAATTAACACTTTAGTCATAATTAAAGTAAGCTATTATAAGTAAAAGCCGTTTAACATTAGGGTCACATTATCTGAACTTTTTATTATTGTTCCAGTAACAATGGATGTGGACAACAAGGGTCCGTTCATGACCGAATCGTCTATGCAATGGGACGTTCTCGATCTGAAACAACCCTTGTACATTGGAGGTGTTCCCGACTTGAACAGACTTCCCAGCTCGCTCGCCGGCGCTTCTGGGTAAAATAAACTAATTGGTGTTTTTTTTAAATTTAAATCTTGTTTATTATGGTACTACTTTGTGACATACAGATAAAGATAAAATAAATAATGTTACATATGACACCAACATATTTAGGGTTCAGGAGCAATTGTTATAGCCTAGTGTGTGTTAGTGAACTCCACTTCTCTTCGAAATAATTTATTTCATCTATTAATTGCAATAAACAATTTCATTATTTTCGGGCGTGGAACTGAACCAGTGTTTATATTTATTATTGACTTACCTTTTCATCCACATTTATAAAGTATAATAATAATAATTATAACGACTTTTATTACTATAAACGAATTTTTGTACATTGTTATGTATAATTGAAATTAATTAATAGAATGAACTGGAGACTTTTTCAATGTTAATATAAAATTTATTTAAAACTCGAATGCAGCGAACCCTATCTAGTCCAGATTATTTGATTTTTCGTTTAGCACTAAACCAACATAGCTACAGCGCCATCTAGCTTATCCTAACATCCTACATGGCTCAAAACCATCAAACAAATAAATTGTGTGAATAAGACCTCAATCGGTCAAGTCGTACAGAGGTTACACGATCACTAAGACGCTCCAATTATTTATATTAAAATTAATTTCTCAGAAATGGTACACTACAATATGGATGAAATTTTATATTTAGATAAGGTCTTACTTCCAAGTTTATCTAGAATAAGTTTACCAGCTACTAACTCTTTACGTATATAAAAATATGGTCTGTATACACGTGAAAAATTGTTTAATCCAGCTTCATCGGTTGCGTGAGCATGCTGATCCTCGGCAGAGAAGAAAAGAACATAATGGTCGACAGCCTCGACAGATACGGCATAATGGAGTGTGACTCGTGCGTTCCCAACTTATGTCTACACGACGGAGTTTGCCAGGTCTGCTTCATCTATACACGCTTATTTTTCAAAGAATAGACACATTTTAAACTTAAGTTCAAATATGTAAATAATGATATACCGTCATTGCAGTTCCTGAAAATACTAGTAAATAAGGCTTCTACTTTTATTTGAAATTATCCCAAATTGAATGTGCTTTATGGGCAAAAACGTTTTTGCCTACCGATCGACCTTTACGAATGTGTGCGGGTTCAGTAAAATCAGTTAAAATAATGAATTATCACGCATTTTGATTTAAAAAAAATAAAAGGATAGAATTTTTGAGATTTTTTTTAATGAATTTTTCTTCACCATTTTTGCCTATATTACTTATTCTGAAACTCTGCAAATTAGGCCCGTTAGGAGAGTGTGCGCAGAAATTACATGATTTAACTCCTCCCTGTTCTTTTCACCATTCGATAACCAGACAGTCTGCGAGTCTTCAGCCCTTTGTTGTCAAAGTTCCGCGCTTTCGACTAAAAGGTTTGCCTGCATTCCGTAATGCGTACGGTAAGAGAGAGGAATCATTTACCGACGTATTTTTCCGTCTGATTACAATCTAGGTGTGTCCAAGGCAAGAGTGAATATGATTTTGCTACGCGAAGACAGTGCGATTTACCATCGCTTATGATAAGTAAAAATATCCTTCATTGTTTTACAATATGTTACTTAACTAACATGTGAATTCTCTAAATAAAATTTGGTTTGGTTTATTGTTGCTATGAAAGTATGCAAAGTATGTGCTATAAGTTATCTTTTGCTACGATAAATGTTTCTTACTTAGGCATCTTTACAGTCTATCACGTTCATAGCTGAACATAGGCCTCCCCCAAGAACTACCATAAATTATTACCGCATATTTTCCACCGACTACCTGTGTGTTCCATCTATTCATCATTCCATCTAGTAGCTTACCGCTACGGGGCTGTCACTGAGAATCTTTACTACTCACCGGCTGTTCCTCGACTTATATGTCCGGTCCTTTATAACTCTTGCTTGCTGATCCACTGAACAATTTCGCTTGTTCTTGTCCTTTTGCGGATATCTTCGTTTCTCCGAGCCCTTACTAAGATGTCTTTAGATTTCCTTACACGGCCACGTTTCGAAAGATTATTTTAATTCTACTTAAATTTTAAAGTCTACAATGGGTGGACTTCAGCATTATATGACACGAGCGATCCGCCTCAACTTCGCACGGTTGATTTATGGATCTCGACGACAACACCACCTACCGGGTCTAATTGTGAATCTAAACCATTTTCTAACCAACTTAATCACACACATAACATTTCATCAATATCGGTCCACCCATTTAGGAGGAGTTTCGTCACATACACACGGACAGAAGAATTATATATCGCATCAAAATCCTTGGCGTAGTTTAAAAGAGCTGAGCGTGCAGACGGCGGGAAGCGACTTTGTTTTATACTATGTAGAGATCTTAAATAAAACCCTGCATTTTGTTCGTATATTAGGAGGCTCGTAACGAGAGAGGCTATCTGTGCCTTTGTGCCGCTGGTTACGCCGGTCTCAACTGCGACAGAACCGGAGAGGCTTGCCGTCCAGGAATCTGCGGGCCCGGCAAATGTACGGACACGGTTGACGGTTACAAGTGCGCTTGTCCGGTCACTTACACTGGCAGGAAGTGAGTATTGCACCTTTTATTTATTTTTTACTATCGCACCACTATTGCTTCGCCTGGGTAGGATTTATTAATGTTGCCTACGCCCTCGTTGTAGGGAAAGTTTTCCAATGGAAAATGAAATATTATATTAACTACTTCAAAATATGTTTAAATGAGAAATTGAATAAAAAATACAAACAACATTCAGCTGTATTATTCAATAATACAAATTAGTTTTAAATGTGTCTAATAATACAACTTAGTTTCAAATTAATCTATGAACAATTCAGTTTAGCCTTTTAAATTTCATTTTTTTACAAGTGTGGAACAATATTTTTAACAGAGATACGTTAATTCCTTCCACAGCTGCGAACAGAAACAAACCATTGAGTACCCAGCGTTCACTGGCAGTGCCTACCTAGCAATCAAGCTGCCTAGGACATCTCGACGGTATTTCCGCATGTCTATGAAGGTCAAAGCCACGTCTCCAGTCACTGACGGCATCATAATGTACTGCAAGGCTCGAGGTGGAGGCTTCACGGCTCTGACCGTCCATAACGGCAAACTGGAATTCCGCTTTGATCTTGGCGATGGTAAGTTTTTAATAAAAAAAATCTTTGGAGTCATGTCCAGTAAAATATGTAAATATATCTTCCGATTATAATTTTTTTCCAAAAAAAAAATACAGTTTTCGTATAAAATTGCTTAGATCACTCCTGCAATACTTTATCTGGTTCGTGAAGTTTCATTACAATCGGCTTAGCCATTTTGAAGATTAGCTCGGACATATAGACAGACAAAATGTTTAATAATGGTTATTCATGTCATAGTGACATCAAATAACCTCCTCAGTTCTATAGAAGGCAGTTATTTCGATATTACAGACAGAAAATCCAATTTTATTTATATCTATAGATTAAATATAAAAATATTTAAAATACTAACCGTTTAACTGATTGTTTACTTGACAAAACTTGCAGTCAGCAACCCACCCCTGACATGTGTCAAATTGGGTTATGAAGAGTCCCACTCTTCGTGTTACTGTGTTATTATTACAGATGCCGACAATCAAACTTGGGTTGCTCAAACGTACCAGACTGACATCGTAGGTGAATTGGGACTATATTTTTTTAATTTCGATCACAGGAAACCCAGTGGTGCTGACCAGCAACAAGACCCTGCCCGCTAACGAATGGACGGACATACATATCGCACGCGTGGGCGCCGATGTCTCTATGAAAATAAACATGGTCGACAGCTACGAGCAGAAACTCACGTCGTATAAGACGGTACAGTTAAAAATATTAATCTTCACCTTTAGCGAACAACTCACTGCTTTATGTTGCATGATGAATACCTCCTGTGGTATTGAAAATTCGACCTTGTATTAAATACATAACGTCGAAAGTAGACTGGCATGGACATTAAAACGCAACTCCTTGCCCAATTGTCGGCACTGACTGGGATTCGAAATCAGGACCCGAAGTATATACGAGTGCTGTTGGAAAAGTTCTCGGCCCGAGTAACAAATCAAAGAAAATAAAATTAAGAAAATGTTTTATTTTTCTACATATTCTTGCTACATATTTTTTCCTTGTCTCAATACACTTGTTCAATCTATGCTCCAGCCATATGTAACAAACAGACATGTATGTAACAAAGCCAGATAACCCTTTCTATATAACCACATGGTGGTGCTGTAGTACAAACTAACTTTTTTGAAAGTTACAAATTGTTCCATGTTGGAAAATTTCCTCATTTTTACGAGCGTGATGGAGCTGAAAAGGTAGATCTCTGAAAATATTTTTTAAGTTATTAGTTTCCTTTAGTTTTACTAGATGGTAGAACTCCTTTTATGCCTAGGAAAAGCGGTCTCGGTAGGTACCACTAGTGGGGACAGTGCCCTATACACCATGTGATAGGGAGAACTGCCTACCCTAATAAGAATAAATTTACCTTTGGTTCCCTCCCCCCTCCCTCCCCGCTTGTCATCACCAACAAGCCCTCTTTACTATTTCTACCGCCAAATAGATTGATAGAATTGATCACTGATTTGATTCGTTCTGAAGGGTATAGTCATTTTGATGGCTCCTTGGCGCAGTGGCTTAGCAATGAGTTGTTGCGCTGGGGCCGCGGGTTCGAAACCCGCATGGAACAACTGTTTGTATGGCCTACACATGATTGTTCCGGGTGTTTTCGTGCAATTTATGTTTGTAAACTGCCTCCACGTTACAGGAGAAAATCCTAGTGTGGAGGTAACGTTTTTAAAAATAATATAGCGATAATACAGTTACAGGCTGTAATGCATTCTATTTGAATCTTCTGAGGTTCTTTGTTTGAAGTTGGCTGCAGGTGTCCATGGTGTGCAGTAGCCACTTACCATCAGTTGGACTGAAAGCTTGTTTGTCATTAAAGTTTAATAAAAAACAATATACATTTTAAATAAAGTAGTAAAAGCAGCGAGTGGTGAGGTGAGGCAAGATTTGTTTGATCATCCATTCATCACAGCCTATAGAAGTCCATTGCTGAACATTTGTTTGATGTTGCTGTTTATTTATTATTTAAATTAAATCTCCACAATGTAACTATACCAACATAAAATAGCAGCTTAACGCTGCTGTGTTTCGTGTGGTGAGTGTAGAGAATCGGAGACGCTTTTTACTGGAAACGAGGCTGTAATGCCTAATATCATAGTCCTCACGGGTGACAACGCATCTGCATTTTGATACGTAATCAAGAATAGATGTCCCATAGATATCTATGGGACAACCATTTACCATCAGGTGGACTATGTGCTCGTTTGTCACCCTTATTCTATAAAAAAAAAACTAGCAAAAATGCTTTATCTATATACACGCTTTGTTCCCAGGAGGTTATCCTCGATACACCGATGTTCGTTGGAGGCGTGGATGAATCCGTGATCCTCGACAACAGTACCGGAGTCACGGGTGGATTTAGCGGATGCATCAAAGAAGTATGTATTTAAAAGTCAAATTCGATTATTATTTAATTCAATTAACTCCATAATCTCGATATTTTGCACATAAATAATACTATTAAAACGTGCAGCGACGAATTTAATCTTCCCGTGCTAGGTTTTTATAGCAAATGGTGCCCAATTTTTTATTTTATATCGGTTTTTATTTAAAGTAAAATAGTAAACATTTTAGCGCATTCCTTAGCGGAAATATTGTTTCGTTGACTTTTATTAGTAAAATGCTTGATAATATTATTGTCGAAATTGTTTTTACGTACCAAATTATTTCATTAATTATAAATGGAAATACGTGCAATATGAAATATGAGAAAAAAACATTGCGAATATTGATATCAAATGTAATTTTACCGATTGCTAAATTCTCAAAAAAATTATTTTGAACTATCTTTTATAATAAATCAAACCTAAATAATGCATTTATTGCATTTTTAATGGGGAGAGATTCATATATATTTTGATATATACAAAAAAAGTTTTTGTTACGCCACCGACGCAATCCTTTTCACAGCTGTGTTACTATGTATTTAGATCTTAACGTTTGTCATTCTAGTACTGGGTGGTTTCCATGTTCAAAGACAGTCTTATTTATAAAAATAAATGGCGTTTTGTTCAAATAATTTATTAATTTTTAAAAAATATCCTTTTGTGACATTAACCGCTTTTGTCCACAGGTACGTCTCCACGGAGATCAAGTTGACATCGTGAACTCTTCTATCCAATCTGCAAACGTTCAAGAATGCCCTAACTACGACCGCGGTGACATCCCTGAGGTAAGATCAACTTTATAATTTATATAATTTTCAGACGTTCACTAACACCACAGATCCAGAGCCTCTTGAACTTTTCTTCACCATCGGTTGTCGGTTCTTCGAGACATATTGCCGGTCCATTGCCATTTCAGCTAATTAATTAGTGTGTAAACTCGAACGTTGAAAATTAGTATGGAGTACCGTCGGAAAGGAAAGTAAACGGAGAAGAGTTGAATGAATTATTTTCTTACATCACTGTGATGATGTAAGAAAATAATTCATGCTTGTGTCATAGTAGGATATGTCTCGCCTGCCTACTTGAGATACACCTATACTTATTAATTGGCCAAAGTTTTCTTTAAACCCGAGCGGAATGTACTCGTCCCTTTGAACCTCCAATAGGCTTACAGTTCTCAACATAACAAATACAAAATCAATTCCACGCGTTTGAGTTTTTTTCATCGTTTTGAGATGGTAAGCGGTTGCTGTGACCCATAGACATCCACATCTATCCTCAATAAAGAATCAAAATGCAGATGCGTCGTCACCCGTGAGGACTAAAGGAAATCGCAGTCTCGTGCTGTCTCTCACACTTTAAGTCAATTGGCCATTAATCATTTGCATTTAGCAAACTATATGATGATATAGATCATATAGATCATATGATGATATAATGACCTAGTAAAGCTACGCTGCAGTTATAGATATCATGGCGGATGGGTCGGCTCGACCGGGGAAGGACTACCCTCTCACAGAATAACAACGTAAAATAGCAGCTTAAGGCTGCTGTGTTTCGTATGGTGTGTGTAGAGAACCGGATACCCTTTTTACTGGAAACAAGGCATTCCATCTTAGTCCTCAGTGCATCTGCATTTTGATTATTAATCGAGGCTAAATGTAGATGTCTATGGGCCATAGCATCCACATACCCCGTCAGGTGGACTGTGTGCTTGTTCTTCGGTTCTCTAGACTCACCATACGAAACACAGCAGCGTCATGCTGACACCGGCTGCGATGGACCCACAAACGACTCTATTTTAAAATGGTCTGCAAACATATTAGTTATGCTAATAGGTTCGTTTACACTTCCAACGCGCACAGGCAGGGTAGCATTAGTATCAAGTTTGTTGGTGGCTTTCCATAATTTTCGAAATTATTTGCCTAACGATGAGATGCTATTAACTCTTAGTGACAATAACTATTTAGCATCCAATAAATGGGTTAGTCTTCCTAGCGTAGTGTAAAGTTAACTTCAAGCCTCTGTGCTCTGCTGTGGGACGCATATAGGCTGTAAATTTACTTTAATTTTGACACTTTTATTTGCAGGTGGACAGCATTTGCAGCCTCTGCCGCAACGGAGGCAGATGTACCTCTTTTGACGCAACAGCTTGCACTTGTCCCGCTGGTTTCACGGGAACATACTGCGAGACCCGCACTTCATATCGGCAGCCCACTATTGACCCTTGTGCGGCCCAGCCTTGCCGCAATGGTGGAACCTGCAAGACCGACAGAAGCTCCAGAATGAACTACTCGTGTGATTGCCCCTTAGGATACGCTGGCGCTAATTGTCAGATGCGTAAGTTTATGAATTATTCAAGTGATAACTCTATGATTTGAGAGTCGATGAAACGAAAAAGCGACACTTCAAAGACACAAAATATTTGTCTATAGGATTTAGCCTGCGAGAGAATGAAATAAAATACAGTATATTATACAGTTTCTAATTATCTCGGTCTCCTCTTTGTGCGGTACTTTAAATATGGTTAATATAACTTTCAATTGTTAAAATAAACAGTTCAAATTTTTCTCGTCTAAAAACTTTCACATACATAAAAAACCACGATTTCATAACTTCAGGCCATCTAGCATCTATTTTACGTACCACCTTAAGAGTCAATCAATTTTTGTTCGATAAAATGACCTCATATAGAATGAAGTAGATGGCGCTAATACAAAAGAATATTACTTACAATTCTCTGAAGGTTCACTTCTACCGCGTGTGAACTGCATACTTGCTGCATACAGCATACTGCACACATGTTTTTTTTTTTACAATACTTACGGGTTAAGTTAATGTGTGAGAGACCTGTGACCAGCTGCAAATTCTCCATAAAGTACAAGAATCGCAGCCCTGGCCAATTATAACAATATTAAGATCAACAAATGGGTTTTCCATGTCTAGATGGTTTGTCCATGTGCAATTTATGCATGTAAAGCTCCTCCATTATACAAGAGAAAATCCAACTGTCTCTATGGGAGGCCTTTGCTCAACAGTGAACTTTTGTTGTGATGAATGAATGAGCGCTAGTTATTCCAGTAGTAATAATTCGACTTTATTTTGAATATATTCATCATATCTCCGAGATTAGTCAACCAATTTCGCCGATTCTTCTCTTCTCTGCGTAGTATAAGTCGAAAGTCGCTTCCCGCCGTCTGTACGCTTAGATCTTTTATACTACGCAACGGATTTTGATGCGGTTTTCATCAATATACAGAATGATTCTAAGAGGAAAGTTGTTTTGCTGTTATCAGAAAGATGCTGCTGTCCATCTTCTGCCTCAGTTTCCCTCTGTCGCCTCTTACGACACCCACGAGAAGTTATGAGGTAGTGGGTATTCTTACCCGCCACTACACGGGGTATTTTAGTTGTATGATTTTTATAAATAACATGTAAAATATTTTTTTTTCTGAGCACTCTATTTTTCTGAATAAGCATAGTGATTATATACTCTTTGGTTCTGAGAGGGCTCTTCTAAATGTTACTCTTTGGCGGGGTCTATAAAAATTATCACGGGGTAGACCGATGTGGACTGGCGGGAATTGACAGATTAAACTTATTTCTGAAAGTCAACAATTTGTGCAAGAGAAAATGTGTTTGACATTGTCAGTATGAACGTAAACAAAGCATGTTTTTTTTTTAATTTAAAACAGTAAACACATATTATAAAAAATATGCTTTCTGCACTTTTCCTATATATAAACTTTATACCAAATCTCATATTCCGCGCGCGAAAATTTTTTTCTCTTCACCTATTGATATAAAGATTTTGCAACGTATCTACGCAATTCTACAAGGTTTCCTCTGTTACCAGCTCTGGAGTTGCTGCAGAGCGTCGGCTTCAACGGAAACGGATATCTGGAACTGCCTTCTAGTCTCTTGCGTTACGACCAGCTGGACGTAGACCCGGCGGTGATAGCCCTCGCCATGCACACCTTCAACGATGGCGTGCTGCTCTACCAACACGAAATTCAAGCGCCACCATACTCCGGAGATTACATCATGATCAGAAGTAAGGAGCTGTTTTTTTTATAGAATTAGAGTGACAAATAAGCACACAATGCACCTGATGGTGAGTTGTCAGTTGTCACCCCTGAGGACTAATTAAAAAGGTCTCCGGTTCTCTTCACTCCCCGTACAAAATACAGCAGCATTAAGCTCCTATTTCACACTGGTATTATGTGAGAGTGTGGTTCTTCCCCGGTTGAACCGACCCATTCGTTCTACAACCATAATATAACTACAACATGACTTTACGACACATAAAATCATCCAGCAATATTGCCAAAGAGGAATAATGTCCTCTTTGTCAGTATTTCTGGATGATTAGCGGTCCACCACTGTGCGATTTACTAGAAGTTTCCTTCCTCGCACAATTAGAGTAGAATCGACTACTACCAGCGATTTTTCCAGACTGATACGACTTAGGGACCTTCAAGGATAGAACCTACTCATTTTTGAAAGCCGGCAACTCACTAGCAATACTCATGGTGTTGCAGTTGATCATGAGTGGTGGTAGTCACCATCAGGTGAGCCGCATGATCGTTTGCCCCTCACTTATATAAAAAAAATTATAAACACAATACTGGCTCATTTAAAAACTTCCTGTGTATTAACTGGTATGTACTCATATGATAGCATCATGCCTAGAATCCTCTGAGTCCAAAGAGCAGCTGCTCGGACCACATTAAAGGTAGGTGGTCTAAAAAGTTTCCGACCTCAACGTGAAGATGGCAGCACTCGTCAATAAAAACTAGAGAATGTAGTTGTGTATCTTTTGACAGTTACGCACCAAAATTTCAGCCATTTTGGACGCATAGTTGTTATTTGACAGTCGTTTGAGGGAAGTCGTATGAGAGTGGGAGAGAAATAGTACACTTGTGCTTGCGCAATCACTCGGGCACTATGATGCGTGCAACAACGCACATGTCTAGTCTTCGTTAAGACTAGTCATAAGACATACTATATAAAACTGTGGGACTAATTTTAAAATTTTTTTCCAGTTGAGAACGGCATTATCGTGATGGATTGGGACCTTGGCAGTGGACTCTCTACTCTTCGCATGGAGGGTGTTCACGTCAACGACGGAGAACGTCACGAGGTAAACACTCGCAATTTTTGGCACCCGTCACATTATTTCTACACTGTCCCGGTTTGACTGGGAGGGAATGCCAAAAGGCAATAAGTTCACCCTTTGTAATCGTTTTCGAAGTGGAACTTCTTTATCGACGTAGTGGAGAAATTTAGTATGGTATTCTAAAAAAAGTCATGTTTTCTTTCAACGTTTCACCGCTGGATTTGCATGAGTATACTATTATTTAGCCTACTTATATAAAATATGTAATAAAATAAGAATGATATCTCGTAAAGAAGTTTCACTTCGTGTGCGTGTATACTACACGCATAATATTTTTTTATTAAGATGTACAATACAGTATAAATAAATATATCTATCACTCTTTATACTGCCTTTAAGTATGTTCGCCATAATCGCGACGTTTACAGGAATAGCGGGCACAGTGCCAGTTTTATTACACCTGCAAGCAACGCTGCGTTTCATCGCTGGTACTACAACATATATATCATCATTACATCAAATGTATGAACATAGGCCTTCTTATAGATTAATAATGCGTATTTAATCGACTTCAACTACATTGTTGATGTTCTCATTTTATTTATATTGAAGTCGGTTGCACAAAATGTTTAATTTTATCACTTGTTTTCCTGTTAACATGTATTTAGTTTTTGTGCAGTCAAATAATTTTGATGCATCATTTTTTTATCGTTTACATGGTAAACATCACAAACCATTCATCGGTCAACACGAACAAACATACATTCATTAAGAATAAACCGTTTAACATCTTTGACTGCTCTCTGGCGCAGTGGCTTAGCAATAGAGATGCAGCGCTGGGGGCCGCGGGTTAGAATCCCCCACGGAATAAGTATTTGTATGGCCTACAAATAATTGTTCCGTGTCTGGATGTTTGTCCTTGTGAAATTTATGCATGTAAACTGCCCCCAGGATACAGGAGAATATCCTATTAACGAAGTAACGTTTAAAAAAAAGAATAAAAGAAGATGGTAGAGCTATATTACGCAGCAGCTCTATTACGGTTGCAACACGAATGGATCGGCTGGACCAGGATAGCACCACGCTTTCACAGAATACCAGCGTGAAACAGCAGAATAATTCTGTGTTTCGTATGATGAGTGCAGAGAACTCGAGACTCTTTTTACAAGAAATGAGGCATTTCATCTTGGTTCTCAGGGTTGAGAAATCAATTCTTAATGGAGGATAGTTGTAGGTGTCTATGGGCCATAGCATCCGCTTAACATCAAGTGGGTCGTGTACTGGCTTAGATGGTTGATTGATGATCGTAGAACCAGGCGTAATATTTTTTTATATGATATAGGTGACACACGAGCACACAGTCCACCTGATGATAAGTGGCTGCTATGACCCATAGACATCTACATCTAACATGGTTCTCTACACTAATCATATGAAACAAATCATCATTGAACTGCAATTTTACGCGGGTATTCTGTGAGAACGTCCTTCCCCGGTCAAGCCGACATATGTGCTACAACTATACTTCTAATATAGCAGTAGCATGGCTCTACCATGTAAAATATTAGCGTATTAACTCTTTTTAGAACTAGTCCCACGGTCTGTCGCTGGTGTATAATTTATGCCTTGATTAAACGGCACGATCATACCGCCGTATATGGGAAACTATGATATCTCTCTAGAATTTTCCTTTACGACTCCATCGACACATGGGAGTGATGGTATCACTTACACACCACCATTATACTATGTTATTTAAATTCTGTTGTAGATCATCGCTAAACTGCTTAGCGACAATCAAGTGTACCTGTCTGTGGACCAAGAAGCTAAGACCGCAACATCAACTGGTTTCTCGAACGTCATGAATGCCGATTCGAACATTTACATCGGTAAGTAACGATAGGTTGATTATATTCTATTACCATACTTTTATTTTGTTCTTTTTAAACCAGCACACATTATTTACTTCACGGCCACTACGAAAATTATGTAATTGTTAACTTCAATTTGCATGTTTTTTTTTTTAATAAACGATATGTTAAAATCCGTGAAAGCCTTTAGGTATTATTATATATATTTTTAGAGTATTATAAAAAAAAAACTTACATATCAATACATGCAGCGCGGGTAACTTTCGAGTAACAATTCTACTAAATATACAGTCGTCGATGATAGTGTTACCAGATTTTAAAAATTTACTGAATTTTAAGCAGCTTAGTCTACAATTTTATCATTTATCGTAGAATTGTAGATGGTGTATGAGCTGGGCATCCACTCACCATCGGGTGGACTGTGTGTGCTTTTTAATCACCTTTATACTTACTATAAAAAATGTGCCCTTTTCGTATAGGACAGGGTGTTTTCACATATTATAAATCAAACTGCACATATCATCGAAACAAAAAAAAATATTTTTCCTCAGGTGGCATACCAGAACGCATCAACTACCAGAACTACCCGGGACTAACTGGCTGCATTGAGCAAGTGGAATTTATGAGTGCCAACCGTGGACTCAACCTTGGCAACATTGCCGTCGCTGGCAGAAACACTCAGCGCTGCAGGGAGTGAGTATTATTAATTAAACTGGCTTTTTACCCTTTTTATCCAAATAAGTAAAAGTATATACTTAAATGATTATTTGACTTCCACTCGAGGTAATGGAAAAAAACGGATCACATAAAACTTTATATAGTTTCTTCAGTCACACGTTACAACAGTCGAGTAAAAATTGTAATTTAGTAGAAGAGTGATCTGATTTTCTGGACAGAGCTGATTACAGTAGACCACAACTACCTATATTGCCAGTGGCGTGAAGTCTGACGCTGCCACAGAATATTCACGCCGCATAATTTTGTATATTTTATATAATAGATCATTTCATTATTTAATATATGACAGCATCAAGATTTCTGGTCATTTATTAATACTATTAAATATTAATATGTATGTACATTATATTTACCTTTATCTAAAATGATTGTTTAAATTTATGCACTTTAATAAATGTCATATAGGTTGATGATATATATAAATATGTATGTACTATTGTAACCAAATGATATAAAAGCCTGACAATCGTTTTCTCTGCACGCTGCCTCGGATATAATAGTTCTATGTTCCTCGACGTGTACAGCTTCTTTGAAGAGTTTGACGTGATTAATTCCCCCCCACCTGGTTTCTACTTCAACTCGAACTGCAAACCCAGACAGATTTTTGCCCTATACTTTGTCTTGGCTCCGTCCTTTTTAATCTTTTCGTATCTATTCGTCTTTACACGTTAATGGAGAACTATATACATTACTAACATGGATGTTCAAGGTGAGTGAGTTCGTTGTGGAAAGAAAAGAAACTTTATTTTGCATGTTGCATATATTTTGTATCGTTCATAATATGTCGTATACAACATGTCAAATAACAATTCTAAAACCAAAATTATTTTAGTATCTACTTCAGTTCACTTTTGTTTTTAATTCTTTTAACGAAGTATTATAAACTTATGAGTTAATTGGCACTTTAAATATTGATGTAATTCATTGTAACCTAATACATAACTTGTTTGCATATCTTTGCGTCTCGAAATTAAAAGTTATCTATGTATAATTAATTACAAAAAGCGAAAACAAACAGGGATAAAGGGACGTAACTTTTGTAAGTTTATTTTTACTGTCGGATGTTATTAAATAACTAACTTTGTAATAAATAAATAAAATAAAATAAAAAAAAACTGGAACTGATAAATATTACAAAATGTTCGAGATATACATCATTTAACATTAAACACATCAAAAAATGTGAGTACAATTAATCGACGAGCATATGTGCGTAGATATAAGAATGTAAAAGAATTAAGAGACGTGTGTCAAGATTGTGTCAAATGGGAGTCCGTAGTCTCTGGCTACCCTCTTAGAGGCAAGATTTTACTTTACATTACCTCATTCTGCCGCCAAACACCAGTGCGTGCAATGCTGTATTCCGCTCTGGATGCTGTAGAGTGCACTTTTGATATGCCAGCCATCGATCACTAATAAAAACCTAGATACACAATCAGTGACAAAAAATGTCGTTACCGAATGAGCGCCCACTCGAACGTTTGGGTGCGCTTGCAATTTGTGCATAGCTTAGTGAATACAACTTTAGGTAATGCATTTAAGGTTGAATTTGCATTAATATGTATATTTATTTCAACTAGAATTACGTCGAAACATTTGGCGACAGTTTTTAGAGAACTTTTGCATGGGATTGTGTATCTAGTTTTTTGTTAGTGATCGACGGTGCCAGTATTACTACAGGCTGTAAGATATTCCATCTCAGTCTGGGGTGATAACGTATCTGTTGTGTTCTTCTTCTTTATTTATATTTACTTGCTAGTGTCGGCAAGCTACAGTCGGCACGTAATATCAAGTGAACTGTAACTTCGTTTGTTATTTTGTTATTAAAAAAAAATCAAATTAAAAAAATTCTAGATACTGGCGAAATTGAGCCTTTTTAATGTGCTCCACAAGGTGCGAGTGACTTCATTTTTAAATTCCAAATATACATTGATATGTTTACATTATATTTAACAATTTGGTTCTTTTTTGAAGTGAAAACTTCTTTCGAATCGTTGTGATTTGAAACTCGATGAAATGAAAAAGCGACACTAAAAAGAGACAAATATATACGTGTAGGAACGGAAATTAACTGGCAGTAGAGAGAGGAGAGATGTGTGAGAGCGAGTAGCAAAAGAGAAGATGTGATAGAAGGGGGTCGAAGGAACATTACGGAGATTATGCTGTACAGTGTAAGACGTAGGAAGTAGTAAATAATTCAAAGAACTTTTTAAGTTTTTAAAAGTTTTAATTCGTGCCCAGTCTCACATACAGCTGATAGGATTTAGCCTGCGAGAGAATGCGAGAGAATATAATTTTTAACTGTCAAAATAAACAGTTAAAATAATTAACAAATTTATTAAATAAAAAAATGAACCTTATGGAATAAAATTATCTTAACCAATCCATTTATGACAATCTACGATTTCATAACTTACCGATTAATTATATTAAATTAGTCGTGTGATTCTATCTAGCGTCTATTTTAGGTACCACCTTGAGAGTCAATAAATGTTTGTTCGATAAAATGACTAACTATGGAATGAAGTAGATTTAGCGCTATCACAAAGCATTTTTCCCCGCAATTCTCTGAAAGTGTCACTTCTACCGCGTGTAAGTCGCGCATATGTTTTTTTTTTAAAATAAAAATCTAATGCGTTGCATTTTCTTTCAGGTGAGACCGACGTTTCGACGGAGGACTATCGAATAAATGTTTATCAATAATATTTAAATATTTCATATTTAATATATCATGTCAATTGTTATTTATAATATATATATATATATATATATTTATTTATATATATATATATATATATATATATATATATATATAATCTATCTATGTATACATATATTTTACTTAGCTCGTAAGTAGGTCTTCATTGAACTCTCCGTCTCCTCTATTGTCGATTTCGTATTTCTGGCGAACTTTTACATTCATAAATGATATTTGTTACAATTTCATTAGAGATTTTTATTGATATGTATCGTTGTATTTAGTATTAAGGCGACTTCAACATTTCGGACAATACTTGTAGCTTAGTACTTAGATAATGAACTATGAATGTATCGTAACTATTATTATATGTATATTGTCCACTATTCCGTATACTGCGTGGGTGCTCCGAGGGGATGTTCGTGCCATAAGATGTGAATTGTTATTGTTAGGGTTAGAAGGAGACTATGCTACTAATTTTTTTATCTTCTTGCTTACTAGGCTTTGTTTTTTTTTAATTTTTTTTATATAAAATACTTATATATTGTAATACACTTCGCTCGCGAGTGTACACGAAACGGTTCTCTCTAAAACTTTGAATCTATGTTCCGTTATCATTTGCAGAAAATAAACTATATTTTTTATTATCATGTGCCAAATGCAGATAAATCTGTAGGAGTACGGTTTGTTCATTTCGTCCACTGCCATTTATTTTTGCTTTTTTTTTAAATTTTGTTTCTTAGGTGTATAATTACGTAGATGATAATTTTCTTCAATTTTAAGGCAACGAATATGCTACTATTAAGTACTTAGATGTTTCCGAATGAAATCACTATCGAGTGAATATTGTTGTTGATTTCGATTTAATTTAGCGGTGGCATTTAATTTTACTATAGTCTTTTCAGTGATTGGACGCGTCAGTGTTGCACGTTTATGAAATAAAATATATACTTAATTATAATATGCATTAAATGTGTCTATTAAAACTAGCTTGGCTAAGGACTCTGTGACTTTATCACTAACGTGAAAACTCTAATGTACTGATTGTTAAATTGTACGACTATGATAATTGATATTGTATCGAACCTGCCTATATATTAAGAAATTCTATTCGTGTATCACTGATAAGTGAACAAATGTACTAACTAACAATAAAGAAATGAAAACTACTGTAAAAATGTATTTCATTTAAAATTGGACTTTATTTTTTTTACATACATACTTTATCGTATTTGCATGGCGGCTCTTCACTAGATCGAGTAACGACCTGCTAAGATATGTAGGTGGCTCAGGACTGTATTTTTGCGGTGTTATTATTATTTAAATAAACCTTACATATTAAGTTCAGGAACAAAAGGCGGACTTAATGCTAAAAGCATTCTCTACCAGTCGACCTCAGGGCAGTGATAGTGTTCCTTGGTGGTGGTTTATGTTCTGCTGTGAACTTGTGAAAGGCTGTAATTTGGCTGTAATGATGACCATGATTATGATGATGTAAACTATAGTTGCAATATAGCCTTTTTATGATGTTAATTTGCATTTAGAATTCCTAGTCGAAATCCAAGAGCTGAATTGGATTTGAAAAATCGATATGTGGCAGAGCCATGCTGCAGCTATATTGTTAGTATAGTTGTAGCACGAATGGGTCGGCTCGACCGGGGATGGACCACGCTCTCACAGAATGCCAGCGTAAAATAGCAGCTTAATGCAGCAGCATTAAGCTGCTATTTTACGCTCTACTCTCGCCATTCCAAACACAGCAGTGTTTGCAATGGCGAGTGTAGAGAAACGGAGAACCTTTTTACTGGAAAAGAGGCATTCCATCTTAGTCCTTACGGGTGACAACACATCTCCATTTTGATTCTTTATTGACGATAGATGTAGATGTCTATGGGTCACAGCAACCACTTACCATCAGGTGGACTGTGTAATCGTTTGTCACCCTATCCTATATTAAAAAAAATAACTTTATCACTTTACTAATACTGTTTCATCTGATTGTAAGTTTTGATGTAGCCGAAGATGGTAAACCGGTAGGGGCTTACCACCATAGCTTAACAAATAGCCACTCTATTCACTGTTACCTTGAAGAGACATTGCAGCGAAATGGAAAGACAGATGCTGGAAAGTTATTCCATTGCCTATGCTGTGCATAGTAAACCGTTTGGTTCGAATGTGTGGTATGTTGACAACAAAGGGGTAGTTACCGAGCGTCTCGTTATCCGACGGTGAAAGCGGGAAGGACGATTAACGTTGGATAG